AAACTCAGAGGTAAGTCAAGGTTTTGAGTCAGTTAAAAAGTTGTCAGAAGGACATACTGGGAAGTTCAGGACAACACAAAGTTTTATACCATGCTACATTTGTTTATTTGGGACTGAAATGATCAGTAGTCCAAGTGTCAGGATATGCACTGTAGGCAGAATCCACTCCTGAATCTTAAAGCTCTTATCCTTTCCAGGCTGGAAGATACCATGATAGCAGTGGTTATGTCAGTAACATGCAAAATCTGCCCTCCATAGATGTCCCAGAAAGAGTCAGCATCGTCACAGACACCAGTTTTTCAATTCCAGCTCAGTCTTACCCTTTGCCACAAAATACCGACCTCTACAAGATGTCTTATGACTCGGCCAGCTTCCAAGAGGACCAGCTGTTGCCATACCAGAAGTGCCCCAATCCGAGGATCTTTGTGCCCAGGCCATGTAGTTACGAGTTTGGAGTTCCTCCCTTCATTAGCTCCAGCCCTTACCCATCATGTTATAAAGATCCAGCAAATCCTCCCCTCGATGCAGACCCTATCAGTTTGAATGGATCTCCCTATAATTCCTTGACCAGCATTGACAAGAGCTTTGACCATACTGCTAGGCATTATGGACTGAAACCAATCTGGGGGAAAACTGGTAGTGGAGACAGGAGCGACTATGGTCAGATGCAAACAAACGCTAACCACCCTTATTATGGTGGTGAGTACTCCAGCAAATACGGTCCCAGCCCCTCTCCCATGGCCCCACCACTACAGACTGTCATCACAACCACCACAAAAGTGTCCTATCAGGCCTACAAGCCATCCATGCTGAAATACAGCGACAACCTCTGCGACATGAAAAACCTTCAGAGCTATACACACGTGGCTGAAAATGTCTCAGGCACTATCTATTCAGGGATGAAGATTCAGGAAGACTTTGGGATGATCAAGTCGGCATTGCTCTACCAGCATGACCCAATCACCACAAAGTCCGAACCAGTGGAGAGCGTGGAGGCCTATCGGTACGGGATACCGCTGGGGAACAGCTATGCTGAGCATGAAGGACAAGCCTTAAGGTTTGAGAGTAGTGAATATTGACTAAATGTTACCTAAATTCTATTGGGATGGTCAACTGAGAAATCAATGGTTGCGCTAATGGTATGTTGTTTGAGATTTGAGGAGGTGTGAGAAAGCAGTGCATTGTTGCTTTCTGGAACTGAAGCATATTCCCCATGCCCCCATCCCCCTCCCCCAAAAAAAATCAATATATGTACCTCTAAAGTAGTATGAAATGTCCAGACACGACTGGGAGATGGTGATGTGGAGACAAAGCACCTCAGGAAGAAAGCAGACTCTTCTAATGGAGACTGTGATCTGTTTAGAGCCACTGTTCCTGCCAGAGGTTGGAGAGAGAGTGCTCCAACTAGGAAAGGAAAACACAACCCAGGCAATTGAAAAAGAAAATAGAAGTGGCTACAGATTACAACCAACAGAAAGAAATGAGAGTGAGACAAGTTGCAGGATAATTTATCAGAATGATCTATCCACCTGCCGTGATCTATGTAAGGAATGCAAAAACTAGTGGGCTAGAGAAATGATAAACCTGCATGGAAACTGCATTTTTGTTTAAAAGCAGCAGGTCAATGAGAACAAACCTTGTCAATTTACTACTCTTCTCCCTGCCTCACCATTAGGTCTTTCTCTTTCCTCCAAGGGACTTCTACAAGCAATTCCTAACTCCTCCCTCTCCCCCAACAGTCATGTTCTCCTGGGAATAAAGCAACCAATAAAGCAAGAGGTGAAAAACCAAAATTAACAAAGAAAAGTTGAGAACTTGCAGCTCTTGGCTCTCAGCTAATGAAACCCTTCTCCAGTAGGCCCAGAAGAAGACAGCATTGCTGGTTTCAATTTACGTATTTTGGAAGCTGCTGTCTAGTGCTGTTTAATGAAACCAGAACAGTATGCCTTGCAAGAAACCTGTGTATGCAGGGATTTGGTTGAGGTGACAGCATCAATTATTATTTACTGAGTATTTTAACTTTTTAGGCACTCAAATATTTTGGAAAATATTTTTGTACATTTTTGCTTTTTTGAGCATGCTACTGTATGCTTTTAATAAACATGCTTTTAAACACAAAACAACACATAATCCAACACAAGTGGTTCACCAGTTGGCTTCAATGTGCAGAATCTTCCAATGCTCTCTTCAAATTAATAACAAAAACTTATTTGTCTGGTATGGTGTACAAACACTTGGGTTTTAGTCACTGTATATGGTGTACAGCTTTTTTTAACTTTGTGTCTCTTATGAGAACAATGCACATAGTCTGGTACTTGAAATGCAGTTGCACAGCAGATTAACCAACAATATTCAGCAGTGGACTGATCAGCATTTTAAAAGCTCAAGTCCCTTGAAGCTGGAATTTATCAAGTGACTAAATGAATTCATCTACATCAAGCTTACATCGACTTCTAGTGTATTTGCCGTCTGTCTCACCAGGCTCTTTTTAAATTATTGTGGCAGTTCTACAAGGTGGTTTAGATTACAGAAATGAGTCAGGTGTGCAACATTAGTTAGATAATTAGCCTACACACTAAGCTAAGCAAATGGCAAGTTGCTGCCCAGAAAATTTGAACCAAGTTTTGGGTTCAGAAACATGCACACCATGCCTATACGCAGAACTGAAACTTCTTATCTGTACTCTCAAACATAGCAAGTCAGTTTGGGAGTAGAATAAAAATTAAGACAAAGTTGCCCAACATTAGAAGAAAAATAGGGATATAGGTGGGGAGAGGAATTAAGGTCCAGCAAAATGACTGGAAAGAGACTCATAGAAGATCTCAAAGCCAAAGAGTTTTAAAGATGTAAGCTACCCCATTTTGTGGCTTTGGGGAAATTAGATGACTGTGACTCTACCTTCAGATGTGCTAAAAATGCCAGGAGAAGCTGTGGGCCTTTTGTGCTGTTAATATACTGGTATAAAGCTTGTTGCTGTACCTGTTAATGCTATATGCTCTCAAAACACAGCCTTTTAAGCAGAACTTTGTACATCAGCTGAGTAAATGCAGACAACTGTTAAAATGCTCCTTTTGGGGGGTAGATTTATGTGTAATAAATACAGCAGCTGTTCAAGCACAATACAAAGGTATGGTAGCAATTAGCTCACTGTATCACCTGTGGCCCTCAAATAAAAACTCTGAAGATTATTGCAGCCTCTCTTTGTGCTGCTGCTTTTCATCTACAAGTGTCTGAGACAATGTACCTGTGCCTTAACCCTTCCAGATAAAAGAGCAGATGGATTCAATTTGGTGTTGTACATAGTTTTCTGTCCAAAATACAGCAACTGGAATGCAATGCTAGCTCCTGTAACAAAAAGCTGAAATCGAGTGCCTCCCTGCTGGTTTATAGAGCTGTGGAATTGACTTTAAAAGCGTGTTTCTCGAGTGAAGCAGCAGCCTTGAAGAAAGATGCGCTCCCTTCAGTCCTCAAGTAGCTTCTCCATTCACTGTGCTCCTCAAACACGGTTTCTGGGCTGCCCGCAGATGTCCTCACATCAAACCAATTCCTGCTGTCACAGTGTAGCTGTGGAGGGGAAGAATTGCGCTTTCTGAACTCAGCCACCTGTGGCTCCAGCTTCACACCAACAACAAGAGCCCTGCTGAGGAAAGCACCAGCTGTCCCCAGGCTGAGGATGCCCTTTATATCAAAAAGCAGCCTTTTAATGGCAAGGCTTGAAAGCCTGGGTGTATAAAGGATCCCTTCCCAGAGACAAGAGGCTGCTCAACAATTTTTTGAGTGCTTCTGTTGATCTCAGCGGTTGCTCTCTGCTGAGGCACCCATTGAGGCCTTCATCATCTCCACAGGCAGTAGCGGGAAGGCGGGAAGCAGGGCTCCTCCGGAGACATTAATGGTGCAGCGGGGCAGAACTCCTCAGTTTGCTTCTTGCTTTTTCCTGTGTGGGTTCTGGGGTTTCTTTCTGGATTTATAGGGTTTTCCTCTGCGTCTTTTTGGGGGGAGTTATCTAATACAAATGAGCTACTCCCATTCACAAAGCTGGACCATGCAGCCGGACACAACAAATTTGCAGGGGTACATCTTCTGAGGAGACAAGCTAAACACCTTTGAAAGCTCGTGTATCATTCATGTCATTAGATACTAGGAAAAAATTCTCTACTCAGTGAGCGGTGAGGTGCTGGCACAGCTGCCCAGAGCTGTGCTGCACCATCCCCTGGAGGTGTTCAAGTCCAGGTTCAATGGGGCCCTGGGGAGCCGAGCAGGTGGGGGCAGCCCTGCCCATGGCACAGGGTTGGAACTCTAAGGTGCCTTCCGATCTATGATTCCTATTGTTATCAGCAGCAGCAACATGCAGATAAAGGAACCAAGGCCTTAAGATTAGCGTAGTTCTTCCCAAGGGCAAGAAGTTAGCCCAGGGTGTTAGAGCCCACCTACCTGAGAATTAGTGAGGACAGCACATGGTGTTGCCCCAGCCCTGGACCTCTGAGGTCTTCCAGCTCTTGAACAAAGGGAGAAGGAGTCAACTGCTGTTAATGCAGTACTACGGTTAAAACTGAACAAAAAGGGGAGGGCATTTCAATACAGCACCTCCATGGGCTTGCAGGAATCCATAGGCAACACAGCCATCAGTGGGAAAATAACCTAATCAAAGTAACCTAAACAAAAGCAAAGCGAAGTTCACACAACACCAATTAATTACAGCATACCTGCTGTCACTGCCTGCAAAGCCATTTCTAAACCATGATGCTTAGCATTCCAGCCAAGCATCAACACTCAAAGAGGACTCTTTCAACAGGAAATTAGCAGTGAGTGTGCTCACATTCCCGTGTAAGAAGAGCGGGCAAACAGCTGCATCGCAACTTAAGAAAAGGCATTACAGCCACGATCAGCCTTTGGCTCAGGCTTTTAACCCCCCGCTCTCCCACGTGATCACGGAGGGGCGTGTCCCTCCATAGGCCCCGCTCACTCGCTGCATCGCCCCGGCAACGGGGCGAAGCGGCGGGGCGGCGGTTCGAGGTTGGCGGCGCCGGGCCGGAGCGCTGCGGTGAGCGGGCGGCGCGGGGCTGGGGCAGGAGGCGCGGGTCAGCGGTGCGGGTTAGGAGCGATGTTTCGCTTAGAGACGTGTGTGGGATGTGCCCTGCCCCGCTGTGAGCCGGGCTGCTGAGCTCCGCGTTGGCAGACAGGTTGGTGTAAACCGGGTTGTGTTTTCCCTGCCTGCCCGCTCTGTCTGTTGGAGTGGTGTATTTCGGGTTGTGTTTTAATGTGGGCAGCCCGTTTAATGTGCGGAGGTGGAACGTTTGGTTATGGCTATTTCAGGTATGGCAGAAATGCAGATAGTTGGCTGTTATTAATTCTGATTTAAACTGAAAGGCAGGCATTTAAAATCACTAATAGTATTGCTTAAAATTAGAAAATACGTAGTAGTTCAGTTTTTCTAAGTGTACACAAATCAGTGGATGGTTTCCAGTGTTTGCATTTTGTCCTCTATTTGTCCTCTGCTTTCATCCTTCCATAATCCCGTGTGAGGAGATTATAGGCAGCATGTCATTAAGAGTATAAAAGAAGCTGTCGTTTGCAATAGGATTTCCCATCTGTTTGGGAGACAGAACTATTATGACAACTTTACAAAGCGTGAAGATGTTGATTGTAGCAAAATTTGGTTGTCTAGAGCATGGAAACATGGAATCATAGGACAGCTTAGAATGTAAAGGACCTTAAAACCCAATCCAGTCCCAACCCCTGCCTTAGGCAGGGCTGCCCCCACCTGCTCTGCTCCCCAGGGCTCCATCCTACCTGGTCTCAAGTACCTCCAGGAATGGGGCACCACAGCTTCTCTGGGCAGCTGTGCCAGTGCCTCTCTGCCCTCTGAGTAATGATTTCTGCCTAACATCTCACCTCAGTTTTCTCTCTTTTAGTTTAAAACCTTTCTTGCTTGTCCCATCACTATCAGACTGTTAACATAAGTGACTACGCCAACTTGTTCATGAGAGTCATCAGTAGAACAGCCTGGCATGCATTCATGTTATGGTGAATGTATGTGATGTGTATTATGGTTTTTAAATATTGATGTCGAGTTATGTAGTTTTTGTGTGATTTTATGCCTTTCCACAGAGCGATGTTGACATTTCTGTTTGAGTTCTGAAGGAACATCCTGAAATTTCACAGCTAAACTGTGTGCAGATGGACAAGGCACAGCTGGAACTGGACTTGGCAAAGGGGTGCAAAGAAGAGAAAGAAAGGCTTCTGCACCAACCTGACATCTGGTACATCAACCAGAAGAGGTTGTTCAGTGCTTTTTCCAGGCAGGCGTTTCTCTTACTGAGCAGATGCCTGCTCCAGCTTGTTGGTTTCACGCTCCCAAAGGGCCAATTTTATTGTTGCATTTTGCCAGACCTGTAAATCTCAAGCCTGAGATTTGTCACCTACTGAGTTTGAGTGCCTCAATTTGTTTGGACAGCCTTACCAACCTGTAGCTAATTCTGGCATGAGGATAAAGTTGCGTGCTGAATTTTGCATCTCTTGCTGAAGTAGGCTGACAGTGCATGTCAACTCACTTGAGTTATTCTGGATTTTTAAACAGCAGATACATAGAGATAATGCTGGAATTAGGTTAACAGTAGATGGTATTAAGCATTTAGGTTACAGTAAATAAATGCTGCAGTGAGCAGTTGTTAGATTTTCCTGGGTCTAGTTATATTTCTTCTATTCTGTAGGAGTAGGGAATGGTGACAGTAATCTTGCCTGTCTGTTCCTTGCTTACTCTGACCCTAATCCTAGACTCGGCACCTGAAGGATTTAAGGTAACTAGTCATACTGAGGTGTTCTATTTTAAAGAACACAAATAGATCTCAGGTTACTGTTATAAAGAAATTACAGGGTGTCTTTTGCCTAAAACACCATAAAATTACATATTTACCTAATCACTTATTTTTTTTTTTCAGGATCTGCTGAGAATTACCATGCTCTTCTACCTCTCAGTGGATCTCAAAATACATGTAATTCAGAGGAGACCGGTGACCATCCTGCTCTGTTATGAGGAAACATCCAGCAACCTCAGGCTATCTGGAAGAAGATTTCTCTAAAAAAACAAAAAAAAAATCAAAAGGCAAAAAAATCCTTCAAAAATACAGAAGACATCCAGAACTTCATAAATTAGTAATTGTAGTTGGATAAGAAAAAATGAACCGTTACACAATCATGAAGCAGCTGGGTGATGGCACCTATGGCAGTGTGTTGATGGGAAAGAGCAATGAATCAGGAGAGCTTGTGGCCATCAAACGGTACGTAACGTCTGCACAGAGAAAAGATACTTGGAAAGATGTAAGATTTTGACTTAATTGCTCTGTGCAGTCTGTGTACAAGAAAAAAAGAATGTCTCTTTTTAAAAATATTTAAATCAGTTGCTTAAGTGAGTGAGTGTGGGTCAAACTTCCTTCTAATACATCTGGAGATGCGTTCATCTGCATAACTCACAGGCAAATGGAGCAATGTTTTATGAGAAATGTTTTCCATTCTTGGTATCTCAGGATTTGGAATTGTTTTGTGTGATTGTTTTTTTTAATTATTTTTTTCAGGTTGGGGATTTAGAAGGGGAATAGTTTTGAATGAAGATGAATGCCTCTTAATTGAAATATTAGTTTTAAATAGCTGCTCTGTAGGATCTAGAACTGTAGAGAAATGCAGTAAAGAACATGGCATTCACAACCCAGTCCCAAAATCTGATTAACACCTAATTACCCATATTTTTACCTAAGACTTCCAAATAAACACAACAGTCTATGTACAAGTGTAATACTTTTATGTATGGATATTGCTTGAAAAAATGACATTATTTTTTCACTATTAATATCTTTGAATAGGCTTGAAAAAAAAGGACTGATCTGTACAGTTGACCAATTATAATTTCAGGCAGTTAAGATGCTTTGCAGATCTCAAGTTTTCTTGTTTTCCTAGAATGTGTGACTTGGGCAAAAAGAAGTAGCTTTTCTTGTTTCAAAATGCATGTTTTATTTTCAGTGTCACTGTTGCTGTCCTCCTTATTAGGGGCACAGTTCAAGTGATGCAACAGGATTGTGCGTCCTCGATGCTTCTAGAAATACTTTATAGTATAAGTTGTCTCCTGTTAACTACTCAACTACAAATGTTTGCAACAGTCAATCATGAAATATCTTAAATTTCTAATAAATGTAAGAGTTATGTTTGCTTTGATTATGTTGCTGAAAGGTATTGTGGAAGGTTTTAAATTTGGTCCAAGAAAGTGGTAGTGCTGTATTAAGAATATAGCATAGCTGGATCTTGTTTTGTTCTCAAAGCATTCTCTGTTACTGAAAATACTTTCTTTGACTTTTATTTCAGAATGAAAAGGAAGTTCTATTCATGGGATGAGTGCATGAATTTGAGAGAAGTCAAGGTAAAATGGTCAACATACCACACTTGAAAATAAGTGTCTGGTTAGGTCTGTCTGAAGGAAAAGGGCTTAGACTATGCACAAGCATCAGGCCGAACTCAGTGAACTTTTTAAGTGGGAGTCACAGGCTCCAAAAGCTGCGGGTTTCTGGAACTCCTGGAGCTGCTTCTGCTTTGTGGAATATCCTGCCATTCTCATGCAGTGGCCATGTCTTGTAGCCAAGCCTCTTGTCTTTGAGAGAAGACAATTAATTTGACATTTTTCATGTGTTTTACCAGCCTACTCTAGCACGTGTTTCTAGGTGTTTAGGCAGTCCTCATATTATGTATCTGGGACACTTTTAAAAACACTGGAAGTCTTGGCTACCCAAGTGACCTTGGGTAAAGCCTGACCTTGAACATCTTGCTTTAAATTTCAAGTTGTCCCATGTTTCAGGCCTCTGAATTTCTGTAAATACAAAACTCCCTAACAGAGGCATTGAGTGTCCATAACTTGAATATCCACAGTTTAGGTTTAACTTAACGGAAATAGCACATAATGTCTCCAGAAATGAAACCTGCAAGGGGAAGTATCCTTATTCATAAAAACAGAAAGCTTTTGAAACATGGTGTTCTCCTGGAGAAACTGGCAGCCCAGGGCTTGAAAAGTGCATTGTTTGCTGGGTAAGGAACTTGCTGGATGGCCAGACCCAGGGAGTGGTGGTGAATGAAGTTAAATCCAGCAGGTGACCAGTCATGAGTGATGTTCCCCAGGCGTTAGTACTGGGGCCTGTCCTGTTCAATATCTTTATTGATGACCTGGTGCAACCTCAGTAAGTTTGCAGGTGATACCAAGTTGGCAGTCTATTTTCTGGGGCGTAGAATGGCTCCATGGAGGCATCTGGACAGGCTGGATAGCTAGGCTGAGGCCAATGGTATGAAGTTCAACAAGACCAAGTGCTGAGTCCTGCACTGTGGCCACAACAACCCCACGCAATGCTGCAGGCTTGGGACAGAGCAGCTGCAAGTCTGGGTGGAGGAAATGGACCTGGGGGTGTTGGTTGACACTTGGCTGAACATGAGCCAGCAGCATGCCCAAGTGGCCAAGAAGGTCAACGGCATCCTGGCTTGTGTTAGAAATAGCATTGCCAGCAGGGAACTGATCATCCCTCTGTATTCAGCACTGGTGAGGCTGCACCTCAAGTACTGTGTTCAGTTTTGGGCCCCTCACTACGAAAAAGACATTGAGACCCTGGAGAGCATCCACAGATGGGCAACGAAGCTGCGAGGGGTCTGGAGCACAAGTCTTATGAGGGTGGCTGAGGGAGCTGGGATTGTTCAGTCTGGAAAAGAGGAGGCTCAGGGGAGACCTTATCACCCTCTACAACGACCTGAAGGGAGGTTGTGGCAAGGTGGGGATTGGCCTCTTCTGTTGTGTGACTAGTGATAGGACTAGAGAGAATGGCCTTAATTTGTGCCAGGGGGTATTCAGGTTACATATTAGGAAAAACCTCTCTGAAAGAGTGGCCAAGTGCTGGAATGGGCTGCCCAGGGAGGTGGTACAGTCACAGTCCCTGGAGTGCTCAATAAATGTTTAGGTGTTGTACTGAGTGATGTGGTTTAGTGTGCAGTGTTGGTGGTATGTGGACGGTCAGACTGAATGATCTTGGAGGTCTTTTCTAACCTTGGTAATTCTATGATCCAAACAAAAAAATTGCTAGGCTTTCTTACTCAGTTCTCTGAGCAAAAGTTGTTACAGGTGCAGAACGGCCTTTCATTCTAGGCAGTTAAGTTCTTGTGTTATTCTTCACCTCAGCTATGATGTAATCCCCACAAATAGAATTTTAAGCTGTTTAATATTTGCTGCTTTTATTTTGAAATTAATTTTAAATGCTATTTTGTTAGGAAAAGGGAGATTACAAGATAATTAGAGGCTACCTGATGGGTATGTTCTGTTAATTCCTTACTAGAAACTTTTACATAGTACACATGCAGCTCAGGTAAGGAGGTAGTCAATGTCAAGTTATCTGAAACCCTGTATTTGTCTCTGAAACAGTCCCTGAAGAAGCTAAATCATGCCAATGTAATAAAATTGAAAGAAGTCATAAGAGAAAATGACCACCTTTACTTTGTGTTTGAATACATGAAGGAAAATCTCTATCAGTTGATGAAGGACAGGTACGTCTTTCTCAGAGAACAAGTAGTGTGCTATCATCCTTTATGTATGTTTCTTACACTGTCTTGAAGAACATACTGGAATTTCTGTTTTAGGCTCTTGCAGTGCTACTGATGTGAACAGAATCTGCTGCATCTGCTTATTTGAGGGTAAAATTCTTCACTGCTTAGCATAACAGCATTGCACATTGTAATATTCCTGGGAGTAAGACTTTATGAAGTTATTCATGTGATAACTTGCATGTCTTTTGTATTTATTGAGCCAAAAGAGAAATTCCAAATACTTTTTTCTTTATTAGCCTTCATCAATACATGAAGGATTGGATCAATGCCATTCATTCTGCTTTTGCTAATGGATTTGGCTTAAGGTGGGGGTGATCATCTTCTCGTGAACATGCACGAGTGTACATGAAGATCATTATATGTGCTGTATGATGTGGTAGTCTTGGAGAAACAGCACAAAGCAATGCTTTCAGGTGGACTGTAGGTTAGGACTTGCCATTTAAATAACATTTTTCTTCGAATTCTTTTTGCCTTTACTGTGTTTCCTTCAGGTTCTGTCGTGTACCTTTATCTCCTTGTGCACAAAGCCTTTCGGTAGCTGTTAGCAACATCAGTGTGATGTTCACTTACAGCTGCAAAGCATTGCTCTTGCTCAGGCTTCCATAAGAGCACCACTGGGTAGCACATACACAATGGTGCTATGCAGGTGCTTGCTCTGATACAGTGTGTGCATTCATTTGGTCAAGCATATTACAGGGCAGCCAGATTCATCTGCAAGTAGACATCTCTGCTGAGAAGTCACTCTGCAGTAAAGACAGTGAGCAAAATTATGGCTTGGAAGCAGTATTTTTGACATATGCTATGTGAGTCTATGTATGTAAAACTTAACAGGTCTGTTTTAATCTGTTTGGGACACACTGTGCAAAATGAGGAAATGTGTGTTCTGTCTTACAGGAAAAAAGAGTCTCTTAATTTTGTGAAATTATTAATCTTTCTTCACAGAAACAAGTTGTTCCCTGAGTCAGTCATCAGGAACATGATGTATCAGATACTGCAAGGGTTAGCTTTCATCCATAAACACGGTAGGTTTGACACTGGAGTTTGCTTGTATAATGCTTTCATAAGAAAAAAAACACAATAACACAGTAATAACAATAAAAATATTCATCAAAGGCTCTTAATTATCTCTAGTAAAAATTTTTCCAGGCTGTTTCAAATATGGTGTTGTTAAACAACATCTAAGTTACCTCTTTTATAATCAGATATGCTTTCTTTTTGAAAACACTGGATATTGTTAGTTCCACGTTTAGTACTTTTATCTTTTCTTAGATACTGTATGAATAAACAAACTAAAGAAGCTCAAATGCTGTGCTGTGCATATCTGTTACTCCAGAAAGATCTATTTAAGGAGCCTTTATACCTCATAGATGGCAGTTCTTACCTGTCTTGAGATATCATAACTAATATGGCATCCTTTGTCATAAAAGATATTTAACTGTAACTTGGTCACTAAAAATCCAAATAATCTCCTTATCAAATACATTTTGCATTGAAACATTTTAAGAGTTGAGACTATTCAAGCAATTACAAGCACATTAACAAAAAAAAAAGGTGCTGTGTGGTGGCATCAACAAAAGCTTCACAGCACTTTTGATTATCATGTGTAATATACATCTGGAAACTGCATTCTGAAACACTGACACTGAACTCCTTTGCATTTCAGAAATTATTTTCTATTCTCTTAGTTAACTCTTATTTTGTATGTGTCATTCACATGACAGTGGTATCCTTAAAGCTTTCCAAAGAGAGTTAAGGTTTCACTCAAAGTGATTTCTGATGGGATTTGACTTATTCTGGCACAGCCTGTTGATGGGTTCAGTTCCATTTAGTGCTGTCAGATAGCCAGAAATTGATGGCTTCTGTCTTTCTGATCAAGGTCATATGTTGTTCCCTGATTATTAGCACTTTCTTTTCCTTCCTTCCTTCCCCATGAAATACATGAGAAAGCTAAAATACGTGGTAAAACTGCCATTTCTAAGTTACTGTATTAGTGTTTTGCTTTCTACACAAGTATCTAGGAATAAGAGAGGTGGTAAATTCAAGCAGTTGCATTTCACTGTAATAATTTCAGCCACTTGCTCACAGTGGTTGTCAGTTTTTGCGTGCAGAAATTGTATGCTGTGCTGTAAGTAAGTATGCTGTGTAGTAAGTGAATATCAATCAGTTTGCTTTATAAAGAGATCCTGCCTACTAATTAACCAGCAGAACTGATTTGCTCAAGTACTTTCCTGCTTTCCAGCTGCTAAAGCCAGCCCAGCACTAAGCATTCAAGAAACTTAATGTGCCTGAATTACTAATATTAGCATTCCTGAGCACAACACAGACATCTTTTAAATTTAATTAAAGAATATGTGGTGTAATAATCACCGGAGGTTAAATGTGTGTATTGGGAGTGGGGTTGTCATTCAGTTATGTTGAATCAAAAAAAAAAAAGCCAAAATTTTGGATGACTGTTGGACCTTGCTATTTAAGAAATAATTACACAATTTACCCTAATTTCTCCTTAATCTCCTGCAGGATTTTTTCATAGAGACATGAAGCCTGAAAACCTTCTTTGTATTGGTCCAGAACTTGTAAAAATAGCTGATTTTGGTTTGGCTAGAGAGCTGAGATCTCAGCCACCGTATACAGATTACGTGTCCACCAGGTGGTAAGTACAGGATGCAATTAATACACTGTATTAATGAACTACCTTTCTCTGATGACTGTTTTAATTTATGTACTCCTTTTCCCATCCTCATAGGTACCGTGCTCCTGAAGTTCTGCTGCGGTCATCCATTTACAGCTCACCTATTGACATATGGGCAGTTGGCAGCATCATGGCTGAATTATACACACTGAGACCCCTTTTCCCAGGCACAAGTGAAGTAGATGAAATCTTCAAGATTTGCCAAGTATTAGGGACTCCAAAGAAGGTAAGACTTCTAGAACTCATGCAATAGCACTTACTCAATATTTTATAATCACTTTATTTATTTATTGTTATTGCACTTCCAGAACATACAAATAGTCTGTTTTAGTAATTTTATTGCGGAGTTAAGTTTTTTCAACTCTGTCTTTTGAAACATCTGCTAAGGCACAGAATACTGGACTTCTGCACTGTATAAGCATCTGTTTTATATCCTGCTATTATGTGCAATCCTGTGCTGCTCTGTGAAGAAAGTCAGATAAAGCTGTTTAGTTAACTAAAGACATGCACATCAGAAGAACTGGAAAAAAACAACCAAAAAAAAAACCCCTAGTCTTAGGATTTCATGTTGCCACAACTGATTAGTTTTCCTTTGCCAAAACTCCCATTTTTCAAGGCTGGTACCTAGAATTTGGAGCTTGTGGAAGTTGCTCTGAATAAGTTGAATTGTGATATTTTCTTACTTTTTAAGCATAGAAGAAATACTTGATCTCAAGCACAAATCCATTGTACAGAGTCCTTAATGACAAAGCAATGAAGGAGAATGATTTCTCAAGATATTTAGCTCTATCAGAAATTAATTAAGACCTACAAGGGAGACTTGGATAGTGCATGTAAAAATATGTGCAGTTATATCTACTTCTGTTAAAGTTTTCAGGAAATGGGTATATGAACATGAGTTTGTTTTGCATAACAAATACTTCCTGCAAGTTACCTACAAGACGTGTTGGGTTTTTTCGTACCAACTAAATATGCTTAATCCTTGAATTACAAGTGTTGTGAGTTGTACTGAATAAAGACATGAACTAATCAGAATGCAACAGCTGAAATGCACAGAGACACACAGAAACACAGACTGGAAAGGTGAGTCGGTGAGTTTGTAGAAGTTGTCAAAGAATGTTCAAAAGAGAATGAATTCCTAAGAAGTGCTCAAAACAAGTGCAAACCAAGAATGTGAGAAAATGAACACTGTAGCTTGACAAAAGTCAAAGAATGTGATGGCAGAAAGCAAAGCAGGATGAAGAAAAAGGGAGTGTGTAAGCAGGGACAGACATCATGACACTGCAGTGTCTAATGAGGCAGTGAGGAGATTTCAGAATCAACTGGAATAAAAGGAAATAAGCTTACCTTCCAAATTTTGAATCAGTTGGGAAAAAAGAAAAAAAAAGGCAATATAATAAAAATATGTTTACAGAAGAAAACTGTGGTGGCTAAGGTCAGAGATGACAGATGTATTATGAGGTAAACTGATACCTGTGAAATTACTGACTGAACGAAGTCTCTCGCTGTGGAAAACCACTGGTGTTGTGCCAATATAAAATAAAGTGTAGCTCTCATACAGTAGAGGAGCTCTTGTCAGTACAGAATTGAGGAACAGAAAGCTTAAAACTGAAGTAGAGTAAGTTTAGCTAGGAGCTTAAAGCGATGGGAAAAGATCTAAGAGAATGTACTGGGAAACAGGTGCAAGTTCATGAGAGAGCAGAGTATGAAAGGTCAAAGGTGGAATTGTATATGAGATATATATAACTGGTGGCAGTGAAAATTGAGACTAGATGAGTAGGTGAAAACTGTTACATACAAAACAGTGCTTTCTGTGACAATCATGCATCAGAAGTAATGTGTAATATGTAGCAGTATTTCAAGAACTGAGTTTTCAAACCCAGATGTTAATTCTTTCTTGAGCAGCTCACAAGACTAGGATGAGAACGTTTAGCAGCTCATCAAATTATCTAAGAAAGAGAACAACACTTGGGCTTCTGGAACATTTTCAGTGCATAGCACAATTTGTGGGCATGCAAGATCAGAGGGAGACTTAACAAAGTGTAGCAGAGCAGCGTTGAAGTCACTGGTGTGGCTCTGTAACTTTATGAGTTGCTGAAAAGAAGCATGTAGCTGGTTGCTTGAGAAAGGAGGGAGCAACACTGCCTGAATACTTCAGAGAAAACTGTAGCCTCTTGGAAAGAGCTCGTGGGTTAGAGACACTGTAAGTCAGCCCTCGTAAGATCAGAAAGCTGTAATCAGTTGCTTTGTGCCTCTGTCATCTGTTGGGCAGTCCTGGAACTTTTATCTCCTTATGACAATGCCGAGGCATTCTTCAGGGACATCGCTGTGTAAGAAGGGTGTTTAAATATTATAATCCAACTGATCACCACAAATAATGACTTGTTAATGGTGAAATGTTATCTGTATTATGAAAAACACAAGCAGTTCTTTTAGTACTCTGTTTTTGCAGATAAAGTTTTAATGAATTGAATTTTTAGATGTAGACTCGTTTATTCCATTAACTTGCTGTAAGGAATGACAGGAGTTATGCCCAGAAGCTGTCTTTGTTCCAAATTGCCTTCCTTTTAGTGGTTTAAGTCTGTGATACCATGCTGATGACTTCTGTTGGTTGATTTGGTTGCTTTTGGCTTTTGTTTAATGATATTTAGTAGTGACAGGAACTACTTTGCTCTATTTCATCCTGGCTTGGATCAGGAATGGTGTGGTGAGCAGGACTGAAGGCCTACTGATGGAATAGATTTTCCTTTGTAAATTGGCAGATAACAGGCAAGGAAGGACTGAGTACGTTAGAAGACAAGATTAGAATTCAGAATTTCCTATAAGACTAGTTGCAGTTTACATATTACTGAAGATTTTTGAGTGCTGTACTTATGCAGTTCTAATTATTCTTGACTAAATAGTTGAGGATAACTACCCAGCTAATATTTCTTCAGAAGAAGATGTAGGAGCTGTGTAATACATTGTACATCAGTGTTGTGTTGGAACAAATACCATGTCAGTGCGTAGAGAAAGTACAGTCCATTGACATACAAGCTAATCTTTCTGTTCCATTTGTAAGTTTTGCATTTCAATGAAGAGTTCTATGTTTCAGAGACCAGAGGAGAAAAACCTGAAAATCCAAGATCCAAGAATTCAATCGTTTGATCTTCTCTAGCCTCTGCAAAGGAAGTTGGAAAGAAAGAACAAGAAATACACCTAATTTATAAACAGGCTGTTTTAGAGACAAAAGCAGTAGTTGTTCTTGGTATCCAGGGATGATAGCATACTCAGCAATGGTCTCGTATTGCTACGAGAGAAACGTGTATTTTTCTCTTCTGGAGGGGAGATAGTCTATGCAATAGACTGTCTATAGCAGTTCTGGCTGTGGAACTGCAAACTCTGTGACAATAATACCTGTGAAGAAGAGGCAGGAGCATGGACTAGATAATCTCTTGAGATCTTTGCCAGTCCTAGGATTCTGTATTCAAACAGTGCAATTATCAAGCAACCAAGGACTTCAGGTTTTACTTCTTGAAAGTTTAACACTCTCACACAAAAACCCACTAAGTTTTCATATTATGATCATGATTTTCCTATTGCAGCAATGTCTGGTTATAGTTAAATCACAGAATGTCTTAATGGTGGAGTCAGTGATAGATTGAATGGTTGCACAAACATGGTAGGGTGGTGTAATGCAAAAGAGGCAGTGCTTCTGCATAAGCTTTACTGATCCCAAAGAAAATACACAGATGCAAGTTAATACCCATCAGTTTAATAGGGAGTACTTGTGTTAATGGGGCTGTTAGCCAGCCAGTCAGTCTCTGCTGAGTCCTCATTACTAAGAATAGCAGGCTTGTAGCATGTCCACCCTAGGCTTACCCCCCCAGCAGATAATGATGGCAGCCAGCCTAACCCCCTCAGTACTGTGGCCATATATATAACAGCAGGAGACAATAATGCATCATGTATCAGGGTAAGAAAGATCCTTTGTGGAAAGCAAGGATACTTGGTCACAGCTGCCAAGGAACTTCTCACAAGCAGGTTTCTTCTAGCTGCATGCAGAAACTGTAGGCTGTTTACTTGTGTTCCCAAGCAAACATGAGCCCTTTCTCATGGGCAAGTTACCTGTTCAGGCTGTGGTCTGTATTTTTCCATGCAGCTGGGTAGAAAGGCCTCAACTCTGCTATTCCCATGTAGGAAGTACATAGAAATCAACTGTTTAAGCTTATTTCTGTAATGCATGGGATGTGCTTAGCTGCTCCTGATACCTACTGCAATCTCTTCTCCTTCAGAGTGTACATCCAAGTGTTGTATGCACAAAGACAGTTCCCCCTTCACCTACAGAAGAAGGACTGCCACTTGAGACTGATGCTGAATTGACTGGTGCCACAGCAATGGCAATGAAAACTAGTAATGCTTGTTTTTCACTGTACAGGAAGGAACTACACAGGCCAAGCATGACTCAAGCTACAGAAAAATACCACTTAATCTAATCCCTCAAACACTTAGTCTTTTCTTAAACTTGTCCTTCTTTCCTTTTAAACAGAGTGACTGGCCAGAAGGATACCACCTCTCTTCTGCCATGAATTTCCGTTTCCCACAGTGCGTCCCTATAAGTTTAAAAACTCTCATCCCAAATGCAAGCAGTGAAGCCATACAGCTTATGAGTGATATGCTGAACTGGAATCCAAAGAAGAGACCTACAGCAAGCCAGGTCTGAGCACCTAAATTATAAGGACAAGACTGCATTGTCTTGCACTGGCAAAAATTGGTAGATGCAGAAATACAATTTGATTGTCATCATAATGAAGGCTAGTGTACACTTTTGAACACTTTATTGGGAGACACTGAAAACAAAGCTTTGTTGTTGTGAAGTTGCAGATGGAATGCAGTAGGGAGAGTGCAGGATAGTGGGTTTTTTTTTTTTACTAGGAAATGGGCTGTACAATGTACTGAGTGATAAGGGAAGAACTTTGAGAAGAACATGTCAATAAGTCACCAAGGTCACAGGTTTTTTTCCTAGGTTAATTTTAGAAAATTAGGTATAGATATTTCAAAGATATACATTCTACTTATTTTTGAGTATGTATAGCTAATGCAATTCTGTTTAGAAGGTATGAGAGGAGAGTGCAGTTGAGAAACAAAAGGAAGGTGATGAGTTTATCATAGGTGGACATGATGAAAGTGATCCAGAAGTGGTTAAGGAGGAGGTGCAAAGCACAGCAACCGTATTTGTCTGCTTTATAAAGCATATGTGTTGTTACAGTCACTGAGATCAAACTGTAGTGCAGTGCTATACATCTCTATGCAGAATGCTGCATGGTACGTTATGACAGCAAATAACCAGGTTCTGCCCAAGAGAGTTGGCAAGGAAGCAGCAATCCATAACCAAAAGGGAAAGTTTAATGTGTTTTCATAGAAGGGTGTACAAAGGCAGTGATTTTCAAGAACAGCTGAGGCAAGAAATCTCTTTGAGAACTAACAAAGAGGAGTTGACCCAGAGATAGCAGAAGAACTTGTTCCACAGGAAGAACTGGTGTATTTGTAAGATATGTAATATAGCTAGCAGGAAAGCATGCAATAGGGAATTTTTTACTATAGTAGAAACAACCTGTTTTTAAGTTGTAATTTGTTACTGTGTGAATATAGAGTTAAATGCAAAATGCACATAAAAAAACAGACTTCACCAAACACAGAAGGAAGAAAAAGTCTTCTATTAAATGTACAGGTGGATCCATCTTACTAAACTGTATGGCAGAGAAAGCTAAAAATGCAGAACTGACAGCTGGATAAATACAACATTTACACATGAACTCCTTATGCATCTGTCTTTCACTACTGTGGTAGAGATTACTCAAATGCTTCAGAAACATGCCCACATCCTCAAAGAAGTTACCAAAGTCAACTTTTTGAAGTACAGTTAGTGTGTCATATCTTCTTCTCTAGGCACTGAAGTACCCTTACTTTCAAGTTGGCCAAGTTTTAGGACCTCCCCCACAATATTTGGAGAAGCAGAGTCCTACTAAACCAGTGCAGCCAACAGAACCAAAGCCAACTTTACCCAAACTGGAAGCTGTATCCAAGCCAGAGCCTCTGTCTTCACCTGAGGAACCTGACAAAACACAGCCACAGTCACTGTCAAAAGCTAATCACCAGCCTCTCCAGCAAATTCAGGTGCCCCAGAATACAGCTAACCAGCAAGTATCAAAACAGCAGCAGACACAGGTGCAGCCATTTTTTCCAGCTATCAGTAAAGACTCATCTGGGGTAAGTTGTCTTCAGTAGATACCTAACTTAGACAGGTGGTTCTTTTACAAATCCTTAATGTATTCAATGTGGCTGTTCTCTGAAAATCACCATACTTATTAAAAAAATTTAAAAAAAATAAAAAAAAAGCAGTCAGATAATTAAGGACTTTGAGAATATAACTGATCACTTACTGAAATTTTGTCAGCAAATGAGAAAAATAGGTTACTTCATGGATGTCTGACTTCTTGGCATGCCTGAGCTGTGCTGAAAGAGGGACTGTCTTGGGCCACTTATTCATACACTGCACTGTGAGCTGTGCTGGCCCATGAAGAAACATACCTGGTTTCCTTCTAACAGCAGTTTGCAGTCTGTTATAATAACCTTTAGAGTCATAGAATCGCTCGGGTTGGAAAAGACCAAGTCCAACCACAACCTAACCACACTACCCTAACTCTAACAACCCTCTGCTAAATCATGTCCCTGAGCACCACATCCAAACTGCTTTTAAACACATCCAAGCTGCCTTTTTTATGGCATTCATTTTCTTGATTGCAAACCGAGCAACTCCTGTAATCACATGGACCCTGCAATTTCTTAGTTCGTAAGAATCTTAAAAGTAAGGTTTTTAGCTTCATACAATTGCTGTACCACCAGTAAGAGTGTGAGTTCAGCAGGATACCAGCAACAGAGCCTGAGTGCTGAACTGGGCCTTTAAACAGAATGTTAATTGAGTATGTCAGCTAGGTTTGAGCCATTTGAAGTTGGCAGTCCAAAATACCTGCCAACTTTGTTATATATTTTGTGCTTAAAATCATTAAGGTTATGACCAAAATAGGTACAGTGCAATGGTTTATAAAAAAAATCCTTCCATGTTCTTAAGCAGTAGTAATCAACTACATGTAAAATATAAAGTTTTAGAATTTAATTAGAGTTGTATTTTTTCTTCTTTTGTTCCTATTTGAAATAGAAACAAGCAGCTCAGAATGGCACAGTGGGTGCTAAAAGTTGCAGGAGACGATGGGGTCAGACTTTGATAAAGGCTGTGGACAGCTGGGATGAATTGGACGATGCTGAATTTGGAATGTCGTGTTCAAAGAAGCCTAGCATTGCACTGTTAAAAGAAAAGAAAAACAAGGAATGTCTCTTTAGGTAGGTCTTGGAATTATAAAATCACTTTTATAGAAAATGTGTTTTAGTACACAGTGATCAGCAGATTTATAGATTGGTTAAAACAGATCTGCTAAAAATTAACTTGCTGAAACTCTGCAGTAGTGCAGAGGGCTCTGTGAACAGGCCAGCTTTGAGCTGGGTGTTGATGTAGCACCAGCAATATCTGTAATTCTTTCCATCACATAGGTGTCTATCTTGTTTTTAACAGTGTTTTACTGAAGTGGTACCTGATTTCCCATGTCAGTGAGGCTAGGGGAAGTTCTGCCACAGTTACTTAATTACTTTTAAGTCTATATATCGTATACACTTCTTTTTTTCCACTTTCATATTCTCGCGTAAAATTCTCATGAGATATGAGATTTAGCTGTTACTTGCTGTAGAAATGAAGTCTACTGATGAAAGCAGGATAAGAGAAGAGCATTGCATCCTTAAGCCAGCCTCAGCTCATGGCATTCTAAGGTGGACTTGTTGGTTACACAGCTTGAACATTTTGATTTTTTTTCAGTGTGCCAGAACCAAAAGCTTCACACTGTACCCAGCCAGGAGCAGAAAATAAAGGTGTAATGAGAAATGATTCTGGAAGGTCCAATACAACAGCAAAACAGTACTATCTAAGACAATCAAGATACCTGCCAGGTAAGGGGAAAAGTCAACATGTCATGGAAAATGCAAACAGTGAACAATCTATATACAGCACACTTAAACTTCAGATTTCACACTGGATAATTCTCTTTTCCTACTCAAGCTAAATTTTTGGACTAAATGCCTTTCCAAGAACATATCTTTCCACTATTAATACAGCAAGTCCTGGCTATGCATAAGTGGAAAACAGATCAACACTGCTTGTGCAGTGTAAATGTTCACAGAAGCTCTTATGACCAGCAACATATAAAACCCTCAGTTTTTGGACACCTGGAAATATATCCTGAGTGACCATGAGCAATGTATCTGAGAAGTGAGAAAGATGTCCACGTATAGCACAGTGATAACTTCTAAGTATGAAATCACTTCTTCAGTGCTTAATAGGATACCCTAAGACTCAACACTTTGCCCAAAAGAGGGGAAAAAGCTTTCCTATCTAAAGATAACAAACAGAAAGTTAATCTACACTTCTTATATTTTGAAGTATGCTTCTAATACTTCCCTATTTTTATTAGTTTTCAATGAGAGTGGCATAGTAGTTTAAATATATATATTTCTGCACTTAATAATAGTTCCAAGAAGCATATTTGTTATTTATCCATATCAATATAGCTCTGTTACCACTGGATATGTGAGCTGCTTTCATGCTGTGTAATCCCATTAACTCACTAATGCTCATGACATGCTGAAGTAACAAGAATTTCTTTGTCCTATTTTTAAACTTATCCTCTGAAGAAAGTTTATTTTTAGCCTTGAGAACCTTTGTTTTCAATAGGTTTCTTTCATTTCTGCTAATTGTTTGAGGGTCTTATATATCAATAAGGTTATGATGTTATAGACACCAAGTAACTGCAGTGAAACTACCAGTTGTCTTGAATGCATGAAAACAAGAGTTCTAAAATCAATGTATCTAATTTTCAGTTAAGAAATATAACCTAACCAATGGATGTTGTCCTTTGACTTAACACTAATAATGTTTATGTTATGTGAGAAATAGAGTTTTGTTTTATTGTTCTAGAAATGACTGATTTTTCATTGGTTGAATTATGTTTGGAAATTAACATCTGCCATAATTTCTTTTTTAAGGTGTAAACCCTAAGACTGTCTCTTTAGTAGCAATCAATAAAGAAGGATCTCATGGAACCTGGAACAACCAGCTGTTTTCCAAGCCATTGGCCCATGTTGGAGAAGGATTGCCTTTCAACAGAAATAATACAGGTATAAGTGTAATAAACAGCAGTCACCTTGTTTTTCATCATACTTTATTTAATTAATTTGCTTATAGGCAAACTTTGTTTTTCTTAATTTAAACAGAGACTCAAAGTAGTCTTTTCATACCTAAGCTATGTGTTTTGCTTTCAGACCATAAAGGAAGTACAGACTAGCTGTTAGAATAAAGTTCTGTCAGGACAAATTTTGTCTGTAATCCTCTTAAACTGATTATCTCACTGTGTTAAGTTAAGGAAATAGCTTGATTTCACTACTGCCTGGTCACTGTGATGTGGAACACTATGAAACAGCAGTCTCACATATGAAAACAAATGAGGTGTTGCCTAACGTCAATTAGAGATACCAGCTTGGCAGATGGGAAGTCCCCTCACTTTCAGCAAGGAACTTGCAGTGAGGTGCCTTTTGTACTAGCTTTTGTGGAAAATGCTCTTATCAGCATTTTATAGAGTGAAGGCTAAGGTTTAAACAAGTAAAATGGCTTATCTGAGATTTCACTGAGGTAAGCATAGGACTTGAGACTGAAATCTACCTTCTGAACACTAGATAGTCCTGTCACTCTAACAGTTTTGAAGCCAGCGCCAGTTGCTCCCAGCATTGATGCTAATGACCACCTGTGGCAGAAATGCTGTCAGGGCTTGAAGCACTGATTGAGCACCTGCTGGAAAGGCAGGGGAACCCAGGGGAGCTCAAGGTGCAAGCAGTGCACTGAGTGATTGGAAGGGGTGGAACCAGGATCCGTGCCTTCCCAGATCTCATGTTAAGGGTTGATAGTGGAGAGAAAGGTATCTTGTTTGAAGGTCCCTGCCTACCTGAGGCCTTCCAAAGGTAAGCAGTCTTTCTTCTGTGTTTCTGTACATTATAGTATTACAGTGTTACACCATCTGACCTAATGTGTTTGTACAAGAACTTTAGGAGGCTTGTTCATATGCAGATGCTGCATGCTTTTTTAATAAAACTTTAGTAGCCCCCCAGCTGTGTTATCAAAACATTTTCCTTTTGGAAGTCAGGTGAAGTTTAAGTTGCTCATCTGAAATCATGGAGAGCACTTAAGAAATGGAAGAATAACAGCAGCAACTGGAACGATGGAATAAAACACTTTTTAAAGTAATCATAAATATTTTCTGGGTTTCAGAAATTTTAGATCTGTGTGCCTTAAAGTAAGTTGATTTTGACAAAATACTCTTGCAAAGGAAGAGACAGAAAAAGGCAGAGCTTGTTTCCCTAAGTATGTATTAGTAAGCCAGACAGCTATGTACTGAATTGGGCTATAAACAGACTTAGGTCAATGCCAGTGGTAAAATCTCACTTTTGTCTTACTGTGGCTATCTACTGAAAAGCTAAAGAAAAATCATCTTTAAAAAAAAGTGTTTGAAAACACTGAGCATTATTTCCATTGATATCTTAAATAACATACACTAAGGTTTTATGTACCAGGCAGGCAACAACGCTTAAAGCAGACACAGAGGAAACTGTGGTAGTTGGACCGCTGACCAGAGTAATCTGGTAGATGTATGTATTCCTTTTTCATACTGATAGGATTGAAAGCTGGCACTGTGCTGCTTGGTGTTTAAATAACTACGTTTAGTTTCTTCAAGTGCTTTTATTTTTTCTTTACCCACAGTGCTGCTCTAGGGTGAAATAACATAAAAACAAATAGTTACAAAAGCTTTATTTGTAAGGAATGGTGAAGCTGTGACCAACTTTGCAAATATGCCTTAATGCTTGAACTTGTGAATTGTGCATTGGTATGACTATAATGTGACTGCATTGTTGGTTAATTAGTTACTTTTTGAGCTACTTTCTAATGAATGAAAACAGTTTTAGAAGCAGGAGATGTTACTTAAACAAAGGGGTACATGAAATTATAGCTACGTCAGTGTCAGGTATTCTTTCTTGCTCTGCTTTTCCTCATTTCTTTGGTATCACCTAACCAGATTCTTCATATACTTTCTCTAAAATTCTGTCTTTCCATCTTTTTCTCTCTCTCTCATTCTCCTTATCTACAGAAGAGAACTTAATTACACCCATTGAAAAACTATCATGCAAAGAAAGTTTGAATGAAAAATTAGAGGATCCAAAAGGTAATTTATAGCAATTATAACCTGGCTCTTTGCACATTTCATATTTGTTTTACATTTTCTCCCAAAAAATACACCTACAGTGCAGATTCCAAAAGATCACATCCTTCATTTTCAGTTGTAATATGTTTTGTCCAACTTTGCTCTCTTCTTTATGTCTGCTTTTAGACCAAGCAGGGTCTATGAGTTAGGGTGTAGCAACTCATGCAGTGACATGCAGCAGAGGTCCATCTACCACAGTGTAATGTAGTGTGAAAAACAGCTTCTACCTTGATTTTTACTCTTAGAAGTAGACAAAGTAAAAAAATAGCCATATAAGTAAGGTCTGTTTGTTTTTCATACTGACAAAATTGTTTCCCTTCTGAATCTGCACCTAAACTAAGTGGTGCTATGCTGAAGGAGGGCAGATAATTTCTCATCACATGTAGACTAACTCATTCATGTTAACCTGGATTGTTTCAGTACACTCTTTGAAACCTGAGAGAATGAAGTGACTACATGTATATTTACAAATGCCTTTAAATAACATCTGAATGTTCCAGTAAGTGACTTCATAACTTTCCTTCTGGAGAAGAACTGATCCTAAAGGAGGAACACATGCATCCCTGAAGGAATGCTTGCTCCTAATATCGCTTGCCACTTGCACCACTGACTGCATTCTAATTGTTATTTACACACTGTGATTGCACAGGTTTGATTGATTAATCTCAGTGTAAACAGATGGAAACTAGGGTTTCCAGGCAGCCATGTTCATATCTAAACACACTCCTCATTGCAAGCATTGTGAAGGCGTAATGTTTCACCTCTCCCTCCATTTTGGCACCTGAGGTGTGTACTGTATCCCTTTGCAACTACTTGTAGTTTTTTCTCAACTTGTTGCCCAGCATGAAGGATTCAATGGCTTCATCCCTTGAGAAGAATCAGGTATGCACTGAGCTATGCTGCCCAGACCATGCTTACACTTGCTGGCACACAGCTGTGTTTGCTTACACATCTGCTGCCAGCCCTCCTTGATGCCTGACGGACTTCTACAGCAAGAACTTATGTTTTGCATGGCAGTTGCCAGAGGTAAGGAATGACTACTGCATACCTCTCAATGCGTGGTTTTGAAATGTTAGCAGTCATAACTTTGCCTTGAACTTCTTATTTTTCTTCTGTCCAAGGAAAAGACAATTCCTTCAGTCCTCTCAGTTTCACCCAGACTGTTCCTCTGGGCTGTGCTTATCCCTTTTCTGCAGAAGAGTTCATAAAGAACGTCAGATATGAAAAGGTAAGAAGAAGAAAAAAATGGGTGAAAAACTTTTGACAGGCAGCTTTGCAGAGCTGTAGCTAAGAAACATGTGGAACGAGTCATTTTGAGGTTATATTAAGGCTTGTCATGGTCTTAGATTTCAGAATTTTAAGATATCCTCTGACAGATCAGTATTACACCTTATGAAGCAGTCCCAGTGAGAAGATTAGGAAGTGGGGGAATACATGCATGTATGTTTACGCAGACAAGGGAACGTAACACTAAAACTGTTGCTTTTGTTTTTCAGGCAAAATTGTGGAGAAGAACTTACAGCTCCCAAGGAAGTTGTAATTTGAGTACCTTATTAAAGTTTTACTTTTCATCGGGATCTGTGTCATCCTTTATTCCACTGGAGCCTAGCATCAGAAGCCACCTAGGGACCCACCTGTTGACAGGACTGTGGGGTTATGGGCAAGAGGAGGTACATGATGACCCAAAACAGCTGTAATTAGCTGAGGATACTTCTGTGGTTTGTAGATGATCAGTTCTGCACCTTATAGAGCCACTGCACTAGTTCTTAGACATTAGCACAGAAGACTGAGGGTGCTAGTGTGAGGAGGAGGGTTTTGGGATTGCACTGGGGCCAGTGATTTAAGAGAACAAACTGTCAAATCACACTGTATATTTTATCTACCACTCTTGGAACCATCCTGATGGAAGCACTTCTCTTTAAACACTGTGCTATCACACAGCTTTTTAAGAGTGTCTAGGTGATGACAGAGAAATCTGCTTGGAACAGTCTAAATACTTGAGTTGATTCCACACCACTGTACAGTAACCTCAGTAATAATTTCATGTGTAAATGCATAACGTTTCTCAGCTTCCTAATGATGGATTGGAAAGGATGATTATGTTCATCTTCCCAAGGCAACACTCCCTTAGAGAAAGTTGTGGACTAAAGCCAAGCACAGTAAATGTCAGGCTTCAAAACAGAGGGGAACTAGATCTTACTTCTGTAGCAGGCCTTTAGCCAGGGAACTGGCTAAGCCAACTTCAAGTGATGCACCACAAGAGGAGTTGTGGTTCCATTTTAGATAGATGTAGGTCATACATGTTGAGCATAAGAGTACTGTTGCATGCTGATTTTCAAGACTGAAGTGCTAAAACCTGCTTCCAGTAAATAAAAGGTAAGATCCTGTCTTGCATTAGAACTCAATGTAAACTCTTGCTAGGCAATATAAGTTTAATGAAAGTATTAAGGAACTGGTCATATCACTCTGTTATCTTCACTGGTGCTGCACTGCAGATATGTACTTCTTCCCTACAGACAAGCACTGGGGAAGAACACCACTCACTCATTATTCTTGTGATCATGCAAGTATGTTATGAAGTGACTATGAAAATGCATATTTCATGGATGCAACTGAAAATATTAAAACCTCCTGTAATATCAACAGGAAATTCTGACTTTGTGGGAGGTGCTGCTTACAACCCATCAGGAGGATACATCCCTTCCTTTCATAAGAAAGAAGTTGGATCAGCTGGACAACGGATACAGCTGGCTCCTATTGCTCCATCTGTATCTGGTAAGAAAAACGTGTATGCTGTTTCTTAACACCAGTATGAAAAGTAGATACATTCAGGTTTAAACAGAAAAATATTCGTATTTAAATTGGTTTACAGGCATTTTCTTGACAGAGGTTTTCTTGCAGCATGTGGCAGTCCTGAGTCTTTAAATATAATGCCATTTAATGCACTTGAATAATGCTGAACCATGCTTACAGTATGCTAAACAACTCCAGAAAAGGTAAATACTTCTCTCAGATGACTCAGTAAATCCACAAGTAGTGTTACATATATAGTACAAGCACTGTATTAAAATAAACTGTTCTGTTCTTTACTAGCTCTACAGGGTTGCTCTGCAGCTTTAGTAGTGGTAATTTAAGACAGGTTTTCACTGTTTCATCCCACTGTTAGCTATGCAAATCAAGTGTCACCCCAGTAGCTGACAGTACTCTTGTAGCCATGAAATATAAAAGGAGTGCTTTCTGGAGTGAAAGTGTAGACATCACTACATTATAGGAAGTAAAAGCCAAACAACATGGGTTTGTTACTGTATGCTTATTCAAGTGCTTGAGATAAATAAGAAAGAATATTTCCTTTCTACAGCAGTTTTGCGATAGGAGATTGAAATTCAGTAAAAACCTCCACAAGTGTCTCAGTGTTGTCTACAGGAATTGCTGCAAAACAGGTATCCAATAAGTGAGAATTACCAGTAAGATAAGCAAACTCTAGGAAACATCAGCCTTATCTGAAAACAAGGACAGTCTGGTCTCTGATGTGTTAATAGCTCTGAGTACCACAAGTCATCTTTCAACTCTCATTCACATCTGTGCAGTAGTAAAATACTACTTTAGTCATCATTAATTCCAAGTTCTTGTTCCTTTCAGATTATTCCTGGAAAACCAAAGCTGCTCGTGCTCAGTTAGCAGGTCCTACTTACAATTCAGCAAAAAGCATGAATATTTTAACTCATGCACCAACAATTCAGCCAGTCCATGGAAGAACAGACTGGATGGCTAAGTATGGAGGACATAGATAGAAAATACCATCTTGAACGAGGCTCACATGATACCTGCACAGTTCTCCTGCCTGAAATGCCTATCTGCTCTAATCTTTCTTAAGACCTATGCAATAGTAAAGACAGAAACAGACAACTTTGTGTTCTACTATCTATGGACACACACCAAAAAAATCACATTATTTAAAATACTGGCTATTGAGTAGGATTTCATTAAGTATTGTACAACACATCTTGCCAAATCTATCACATATTTAGAAGTAATGAGAAGTAGATTTCACCTGGCACTTTTCTATAGAAGACTTCCTATCAGCACAGTCTTAAAAACAAGAGCTTTAATTTCTTGCCCTATGCAAAAGTCCACCATTGTACATGAAAGCAGCTTAGGTCACAAGCAGCTAGAACTGGGGCTAAAGCAGAACAGCTCCAGGCTCCCAGCTGATACACTGGTTCCTTCCTGGAAATATCAAAGTGAAAGCACAGACTGGGCTTTGTGAAGAACATCAGTGTCCTCTAATGATTTCAGAACTCACTTGTACCTAAAGAGTTGCTCAGGGTCTGTAATGTGTAAATAAAATGAGAACTCCTTGTAGCTGGACAGAAGCAATATGGTGACAATTCCTGCTCCTGGAAGCTCTGAAAATATGTCCCAGTAGCAACACTGGAAAACAGCTAAGCAAGTACTGAACGCTGCACTTACCTCACTGAGCTGTAGTGAAACTTAAAACCAGACTGTACTGTTAAAATTAGCTTATGACCACTTTCAGTTGAAGACTGAGAAGGGAGATAAGAATTACATCTCCCTTGTCATAGGTATATCACAGCAACATTTTAAGGAATCCAAATCCCAGTCTCATCAGCTGTTCTAAAGGTGAATTAAAAAAGGCATAAGTGGTTGGTAACCATCTTACTGGGTGATGACACGAACCAGACTTCTTCATAACTCAAAGAAGCCCTGTGAATCATGTGAGGGAGGAAATAAAGCTGCTTTTCTAAGAAGTTACTTTCTCTTTTAGATCTTTAAAGCCAGCTTAAGTCCTGTATGTGAGACTACATACAAGCTTTAATAATGCAATACCTCAATGTTTATATGCTCATGTCATACTTTCCTTGGCACCTATGCTAAGTTTTACAGAAATATCTTGCAAAGGACCTTGCAGTGTACAATAAATATATTTTTTTAATGTTGATCTAGGCTACTTCTGTTCACAGCTGTGTTTAGAATAGATGTTTTGGTAGTAATATTAAACCTGCCATTTTAAAATACAAAACGAGTATGTTCTTTAAAGATGTGAAACTGTTGATAACTTTTTTTTGTTTTTAAACTGCATATAAAGTTCTCAGTTCCTGCTGTTGACCTAATGTGCCATAATAGTTGGGCTATATAACCTACTGGAAGTTAAACTGAAGCAGTAGCATTAAAAAATAAAAAACAAACACCAAAAGAAAATGTTACTTTAATCCTGGAAGTGATTTGTAGAGATCTGGATAACTGGTTAGTAACACACTAGAAGACTTAATTCAGTTACTATTGGTTTTGTCTCAGATACCTGTCACTCCATTAGTACTAACAGATCTTCATATGCTATTTAGGCATATCTTATTGTAGCTGTAGAATATATCAGTAACTCACCTTGGAAATGAAGACCACCCTCACACTTTCTAGAACAGTTCTGGTTCATAAATACACTAGTTTTATTAATGAAATCCAGGAGAAATTAATCACTCATCCCTGGTAGTAGATGCCAGTAACTTAGGTAAGATCACACTAACCAAGCAATTAGCTAATGATGTGTCCATAGCTCACTAAGTCACCTAGAGCAGAAAAAGGAACAGGCAGTACTAAATAGAGCTAGAAGTAACACACTGTCCTTACAACATGCTAGTGAACACAGACATTGTTCTGACGTAACTGTAACTGCCTTGACATGTCTACAATCAAAGCATGACTAGAGTTAAGAAATTCTTCTCACAAGCAACAAGACAAAACAGCAATCAGGCACTAGTAGGTGTTGTACAGTCACTATAACTGATTCACTGATACACACTGTCAGTGCAGAAATGCACCTAATGCTTATGGAGTTCCAAGTGGATGAAAAGCACACAAGTCTCTAGCTTTTCTCTCCTAATACAAAGCTTACTAGCCTTCTCAAGCTATAGCAAACACATTCAGACAACCTGATAACCAGTGCTGGGTCAAGAGCCTGGAATTAGACACTTACAAGGATAACTTACAAAGAAACCATCTGCTGAAGTTGTTGACTCCCAGATCATTTTCTCCTGTGAGGAAACCAGCTGCTCCCTGCCAGGTGCTTTTCCCCCTCCATCTCCAGAGACTAAAGTTATTTAACAAGAAGGGAAGGAAAAGAGGAAGGTAAAGTAAAAAGGAAACAAACCACAAGATATCACACTCCTGCTGAGGTATTGGCCAGATGTTTAGAGAACTCTGAGCAAACGAGGCTCCAAAGCCTTACTATTCCAACACATCAACCCCCCCCCTGCTTCAGTCTCTCACAGTATTGGCCACCAAAACAAAGGCTGAAGAAATCGAAGCTCAGGTCCTGTGCAAAAACAGACACAAGATAAACCAGACCAGAAAAGGGATACATTACCATCCATGCATAACTCCCAGGATTATTTCTGCATCCTAAGTCTATATTTAGAATGAGTTCAGGCAACAGAGCACTTCTCAGGGAAGCATCTGAGTCCTTTAGTCTTTAAATAAACTTTCACAGAGTCTTTCGAATCTGAAACAGAACATTTGTCTCAGAAAAAATAAAAATTAGATTTTAATGTAATACTTGTCTTTATATATAAGCCCGTGTGCTGCTTTTTCTGTCTCTCCTCTCCCCAGTTCAAGTAATATTTATAGGTCCGTGTGCCCAGGGAATGGAACAGGGCTATCAGACAATTCATGTTCACAGATATATCCAGACTACCTACAGAAGAGGCACTAAATGTATCAGTCCAAATGAATGATTAAAGAAAAAAATAGTTGTGCAGAAAGGAAATTTGTAATAATATTACGTTGGCTGGTTTATTTAAAGTAACATTTTCATACAAGTGCTATGACTGCGACTCAGCATTACCTAATGAAGTACATTTTTTATTTCTTACAAAGAATAATCTGTAAAAGTCAAATTAATTACATTTAGTTGGGCACTTTTCCTTATAAATAATTTCAAGTAACAGGTTTACTTTCATTGCATTACATAGAAACTTAACTCCCTGCTTCATGATTGTGTTTTTAGGCCAAGGTTCTAACGCAGTGCTAGCAGAACAAAGTCCCTGATTGACAAACATGATGACCAGATAAGCTGGCAGGGAAGTGGGAGGGAAAGGTGACAAAAAGCTGATATGTTATAGGAAATATCAATGATAAATTGGCAATTTAGAATCACCTATGCTGGAAAAGACCTCCAAGCTCATCTAGGCTCATCTAGTTCAACTTGTGTCCCATTGTTTCAGCAGTCTAATGGGTTTTACAAGCACAAGTCCAGATGTATATTTAAGGCTCATTCCTGCAACTGTCTGCACACAAGGGCCTAGAGACCTTTGCATAAACTACAGAACAAGAAGCTGAACTAATCCTATACTCATTTTCCTACTTCACAGTGCAGCTGTTGAGACGAATACCACTTTGGAAGACGTAACAAGGGTTCTCAATTTCTCTCATTTAAAGACATAATCCATACACATAAGGATATGAAAAAACAGTGCACAGACAGCAGTGTCTGTTACATTTTTTTTATATAGTGCATTCAGGCAGTGGCATTTTCAGGCTTCTTACTCATGTATTTTCAAGTGGTGTGATGTTCACTTATGGCTCAAGTGGCTTTTCCATCATCTGCAACATGAGTCTTCCAACCATCAATAAACTGTTGAACAGAATATTTGTTAAAACAAAGGAAGAAAGCACGAAGAAACAAAAGAAAGGGATAGGGGAAAATTCTCAAACACCACCACAGAAGAAAACGTTATGATTCATTTAGATGGACTACAACACAAGATTTCATTTCTCACACAACTCACCATGTAACATTAAAAAAAAAAACCTCATCACAGAACCACCAAGGTTGGAAAAGACCTCCAAGATGATCCAGTCCAACTGTCCACCTACCACCCATATTTCCCCTAACCCATGTCTCTCAGTACAACATCTAAACACTTCTTGAACACAATATGATCAATGTGTAAGTTAAATAAAATGCTTATTCAAAACACAGACAAGAACAGAAGATGTGAGTACCTGGCACCAGCAACGACCCCAGGCATCGCTTTTCTGGAGTTATAAAATCTCATCCCCATGACAGCAGACAAGGTTCCAGATGCCACTGATAAAAGAGAAGCCCAGTCAGAACAGTTTCAGGGAAGTGGGTCTGAAGTGCCAGTGCAGCACTATAACCCTGTTACACACCTACCAGTGCCAACAGGCCTATGTGTCTCTCCTCCCCTCAAAAGCAAATATTTTACTTATTTTTGTTAAGCAGCAGAGCAGCTGTAAGCTTTATGGCAGCTTTGGTAAGCCTGCTCCACTGTCCATTACAAATGAGTAGATCTAACCAGCTACTAACACTGCCTCATCACCCATAACCTCCACTCCTCTGTGCAAATCACTAACACTCCCTCAATTTCCATTTATTTGCAGAAGGAGGAGGATTATTTCCTTGAATACGGATAACCTAAAAACTGCTAGAAAGCTAGGGTGGTTGATAAAGATTACTGTGTGGAAGTCAAATATTATTACATTTCCTATTTGATGCAGTTTGAGCAATCTAAAGCCCAGCTGGAGCCACAACTGCAGATCACAGGAGGCTGCAGAGAAACAGAATCGTGGAATGATCAGAGAATGGTATGGGTTGGAAGGAACCTCTTGAGAGCATCCAGCTCCAACCCCCTGCTATAGACAGGGTCACCTCCCAGTAGGCCAGGTTGCTCAACCTCTCATCCATCCTAGCCTTGAATGCTTTCGGGGAAGGAGAATTCACAACCTCTCTGAGCAACCTGTTCCAGTGTCTCACTCACACAAGAAAAAAAATTGTGATATCTAATCTAAGTCTACTCTCTTCCAGTTTAAAACTACTTCCCCTCATCCTTCACTACCTCATAAAATAGAATAGATGAATAAGGAATTACACTAAGCCAGGACATCATGCTGCCTTCAAGAGGCCCACTATGTCTACGTCCAAAAATCAAGAAGTACGGAAGCAACTCATCTTTCTCTCACTATACTGTCTAAAAACTAGCGCAGGAGATGGGAGATGCATGGCCATTCCTAGTACACATCACACAGGAAGAGAGAGTGCACAAACCAGCTGTGCTTCACATTGAGCTGTGTGTGTTGCACCTCGTTTTCTACTCACCACACAGTTTGGTCCTCTGCAGTGTTTGCCAGGGATCCCATAAAGCCCTTCAGCACATTGCATGAACAAGATCTGTTGTTTCTAAACAGCCTTAAATCCTTGTAATATCTAAATGCTAATAAAGCTTTGATGTGGTTACAGAGCTCTAAGAGCTCAACCTAGTGCACAAAGATGTGACCAATTCCTCACAGGCACTGACCTGACCAGTTACTGAGGCCCTGCAGCAATGGAAGTTCCTTAAGCTTCACCTGATCTCTTCCAATGCTTCCCAACACCTTCCACTATCATTTCATCTTTTTTGCTTCCCTCAAAAGGTTTGCTGCAAGCTAAGCCTACAGCTTCTTGTCCCATCTGTTGTAAGCAACAGAAGTGGGACAAGCAATAGAGAACAATTCTTTCCCTCCTTTTGTAGATTTAAGATTTCTTTCCACAGCATACATTAAAACATTTTTAAGCTTAAAAATGCTCCTTTGCAGCTGTTTTACCACACGATTCCCCTGTGCCTGAATTAATTTAACACAGTACCTCACCTGGCAGTGGGGATACATAGCTGCCACCCAGCATGGCTCCCAGAGACAGTACAGCAAGGAGCTAGAGCTCTGGCACAAATGCTTCCCAGCTATGGGCAGGCAGCCCTGCCAACGCTCACAGCACTTGTACAAATAAAGGGACACAAGCTAGCTGGGACAGAATCACAGAATGGTCAGGATTGGAAGGAACCTCAAGGATCATGACTCTCCAGTTCTCCTACCACATGCAGGGCCACCAACCTCCCCATTTAATACCAGACCACGCTGCACATGGCCCCATCCAACCTGGCCTTGAACACCTCCAGGGACGGGGCATCCACAGCCTCTCTGGGCAGCTCTTCCAGCACCTCACCACCCTCTCTGTAAATAACTTCTCCCTGACATCCAACCTAAATCTTCCCTCCCTCAATTTAAAACCATTTCCCCTTGTCCTGTTGTTATCCACCCTTGTAAAGAGTTGACTCCCTCCTGTTTGTAGGCTCCCTTTAGGTACTGAAGGCTGCAATGAGGTCACCCCACAGCCTTCTTCTCTCCAGGCTGAACAAGCCCAGCTCCCTCAGCTTGCCCTGACAGCAGAGGTGCTCCAGCCGTCAGTGTCAACACTCGGATGCCAAGCACTTACCAAGAGAAAGCCACACGTTCTTCGGCTCTTTGGACTGCTGGTAGGCACCCAGCCCTGCCAGGCCACCGAACAGAAGGCCGGCAGCGAGGGACGGGACGCTGCCTTCAAGAAAGCAAGCAACATAAATCACAACCTGCATTTGTTTCCCAATTAGTAAGACGCTTCGCAGCCCTCCGTCCCCGCGCAGGCAGGCAGCCCTTTCAAAGGGCAGAACCCCGCGCTCCGACCTTCCCTCCTCTTGCCCACCGCTAACAGCAGCCTACCTGCCCTGGCGTAGCCGATGATGCCCCCAGAGGCCACCAGCGCCGCGTACCCGAAGCCGACCCAGTCGTACTCCATGTGCGGTGCCCCTCCGCCGCCCGCTGCAGCCTGGGGGCGGTTGGCCACGGCCCGCTCTGACCTTGGCGCGGCGCTTCCCGGCGTGCGGCGGGGCGGAGCGGCGCCTCACGGAGTTCCGGCCGCGGGCGGGAAGCTCAACCCCGCCGCCACCGGCCGTGCCCAGAAATCAGTCGCACAATGATAGCTAAAGGGTTTATTTGCATATATTATTATTTATTTGCATATTTGCGTAACATTCGTTTAAAAAAAAAAAAAAAGGAAGCGACGCTGTAAATGGTGGCGAGTCAGGAAAAGAAAAGGACACAGAAGTTAGCGGTGGTTTAACGAAGCTGGGAGTAGATACTGTTCAGGACCCACTGCTTGAGCCAAGGTGCTCCACCATGCTGCTAGCTGGGTCATCCAACGTGCTAAAATAACCCCAGGAATACAGCCTGTCATCACTGCAGGAAGAACCATTCAATTCTGCTTCGGAGACTGCATGCTGAAGGGCTAGGTAGGCTTAGCAATGAGTATCAGCTCAGCTATTTGACTGCCTCCCTCTGGTGGCTGCAATCGGGAAACAAAAATAGGGCTGTGAAGCTCAACGTTACCTACACCTATTAACCACTCAAAAGCTTGGGAAGGAGGCTCAGTCCCTGTCAAAACATGACACAAAGTTACAGACTTACTGCCAAAGCTCAACTACTGATCTTTCAGTCCTGGCATCCCTTTTCACTGCCCTCCCCCTCCCTTTGTGTCCTTACATATGATGATCTGAGGACACTGGCAGGCCAAAATCTGCATGTCAGTCGGTTTCCAACTCTATTAGTTGGCCAAGTGAAACAAATAAGTAAGACTTCACTTTTCATAAAGAGCTCTTGTGCCTGAAAGCCTATCAGATCTTTCTATCTACAACCATTTGCATAGCAAAAGGTGCTATACTCCTACAAACCTTGAACCAACAGATGTTTAAAGAACAGACTTTAGAACAGCAGTTCAGCACCTTTCTCCCATTCCCAGTACTTCCCTGGTGAGATAAGTTTCTGTATTTTTGACCAAACGGCAGCTGCATGCATGGCCACCAATTGTGTTCCTCTTTTTAAGGTCTTATTCACTGTGACTTGTTATCTTTCTGCTTACCAATGCACACTACTTGTCTTCAAGGTAATGAGAAGCCCCAAGGATGCCTGATTCTATATACATTTTTATAGAAACAGGCAGCAATGTCAGTGTAGCAAGAAAAAAGTTAGGGCTGCGTAACAGGCCATTAAAACTGCAAAAGTACAAACAGGGCAGCTGTAAAAAGAGCTGTGCCCACTTGCTTCTTTTTGGAATCTTCCACATTTTGGTCTCCAAATGTGAAGCGAAAAGATAGATTTGCAGACAAAGTAAGACAAGCTGACCTGAGCTGCAACTAGTGCACATCCTAAAGAAACCTGTTGGATGAATGTGTTCTTCCAGCAAAACAGAAATTAGATTTCTGGTGCAATTCTGACCACTTTTGTTGATGCATCCTGGGTTTTCACTAGCTAGAAATACCAGTTTGGTTCCACCTGAACTTCACTCTGTGCCAAGGTTCTCTTTCGATGTCTCAGCTCCAGGCACTCCACAGTCAGCGGGTATGTTCTGAGCTCAAACTTATTTGCAAACATACAGGTGGAGTTTAAAAGCCACTCAAGGTCACCTGTTCCATATACACAAATGCCTCTGACATAATGGCCTGCCAAATTAAAAAGAAACATAAAAGAAATGTCAGAACCTGGTTTTCTTTCTACAGGCATGCTTATGGATCCAAAACTTTCTTTGGATAAGTTTTATCTGCAAAGCCACTATAAATCTACACCACATCCTAAAAGGCTTACTAGACACACAGTGTAAGTATGAACAACAAAATGGCATGAAGGAAATTGCTTATGAGTAAATAATAAGCATAATTCCTGAGTAAGGAGATAGGCCAGAAATTTTATTACTTGAGACTCTAAGACAAGGCTGAGACACAGCAAAGAGGGAAACTTCCTTCTGTCAGTGAAGAGGAATTGATCCTTTTACTTATGCAAGATTCTCCACTAAATAACATGGGTTGATACTGGTGCAATGTCACTTATTTTGGTGTAGTCACAATAATGTGAAACCGCTGCAATTTAAGCTGACTGAAATGATCATTCTTTTTTCCTCCTCAACACAAACAATGAATTAAAAGTTTATGAAATACATATTCTATTTTCCTCTCACTTTTACATGTCAAAAGTAGTAGCATCATAGAAAATACAAATCAGTGACCAAAAAAATTGAGCGTGCCATAGAAATTATAACTCACTAATGTTATGTCATGAAGCAATACGAAACAGGAAAACCTCAGTATTTAAACATTGTCAGCTTGCAGTTCCTGAGGTTCCCTACCCAGTGTGGATCCAGCAGGCATCAGTGCCTACATCAGTGGTTCTGTGTCCCCATGCTGTGAGTTACAATTCTACATGGGCTATTCCCCATCACCCACAAGATGATTCCCCCACACTTAGAAGAAAACAGTCAGCTAACTCTTGTAAGCATTAAGCGTTGTTACACACCCTCCTTTCTGATGTATTCTATCAATGTTCCTGATGAAGAAGTAACTGTTCTAAATTTCTAACTGCTTTTTTTTAACGTGGCTACTGTTATTCACTACCTAAGGACAAAGCTTTCAACGTCTTATTTCTGATCAACTGCTGCTTAAGAACTGACTTGCATTATGTAGGGCTACAGGAAGAAGTCAAGTTTTTCACTAGATGAACAAGAAGAACTGAGGAAGAATATACGCATTACCGTGACAACCTCCATGGACATCTTCCATATCAATCCACTTCACTGCTTTCAGGTCACCTTCCCACGATGCATTAGGCATGGACCCAGGGACACCTGCAGTTAGGTAACAGAAAATAACACTGTCACTCTTTTGAACATCTGTATGTTTGGTTTTACCTCTCCTCTCTAGTACTTTTCTCCATGGAACTGGGATAAAATGCAGTACCTTCAGCTCTAGGCTATAACAAAGAGATGGCTGCCATAGGATGAAGCACTGGCCTTTGAACACAAGAGATGGTTGGATAGTTCCAGCTAGGAAAACCTCTGCACCTGATCTGCACTGCAATACTGAATTCAGGTCAGTAACGGAAGATCTCCAAAACACAAAACACTTCACTAAAGAAAGCTGGAAAAGCACCAATTTCTCACTGTAACACAAACACTTGCCTATAATTTATTTGCCTGGTTATAAAAAAAAGCTCAACATATTTTATTCTTTCCTGCCTAGCAAGTAATTACCATAGTATTGCACCTGAGTTATCAAATGGCAGAAGAGGCAACATGTGGGGAGCCAGAAGTACATCAGCAGGTACAAAGACACAGCTGCTGCTTTTGCATTCTTCTAACGAGGCTGAAAACAGGCATGTAACACAGTGGAAATTGAAGCAATGACAGCAAGGTCACAGGCTGCAGTAAGGGAGAGTTTGTGCAAATGCAGCATAGAAATAAAGGAAAGAAACAACTTACTTTCAGAAAACCTCAGGTAGGCAAGGACCTCTAAACAAGATACCCTTGTTTCCATCAACCTTTAACATGAGATCTGGGAAGGCGTGGATCCTGGTTCCACCCCTTCCACTCAGTGCATTGCTTGCACCTGAGCTCCTCTGGGTTGGCCCTGCCTTCTCAGCAGGTGCTCAATCAGTGCTTCAAGCCCTGACAGCATTTCTGCTACAAGACAAAAAGAGTAACTTGCTCAAATGCAAAGAGTTTAGCATAGGAGTACCTGCAAGTCAGGAGCTTTAACAAGTGCAGTAGAAGTAACAGCACTGACTGGTAGCACTGGTCAGGGAGGAGAGGATTTACATCACTCTGGCTGCTCCCCATGCACTGTGAGGCAGCTGCAAGCTGCAGCTGCAGCTCCCTCCCCTGGCAGTCTCTTGAGTAGCAGCAATATTATTTCATACATACTTATCATACATACATACCAAAAACACAGTAATTTTCCTCAGTTTACAGCAATCCTTTTAAAGCTTGAACAAAACACCTTGATTTGGAATTGTAGGACCCGAGTCCATCAAATACAGTTTTAAGAAAAGTAAAGCAGGTATTTTAATCCCCACTTCTGACCTTTTTCTTCAGTAGCAATTAGCCCTCTTTCTGATTTTCATAGTGTCGTTTAAACTGTGTATTAATCTAGATGATTCATTTTGCTAGTGAGCTGCAATCCTAACAGAGGTGATCTGCTAGTAGCTCTGTAAACCACAATCTCAAATAGCAATGGGAGAACAAATAAGAAGCCACGTTCAGCGCTGAAATGGTAACTGAAATACTCATCAACGCAGTGATAATTCAGTGTTCTACGAAAAGGAAAGATAAAAGTACAGGAAGTTTCTGGTTCTTTTGTTTCCTTCCCCAGTGGCATTAAGCACAACATCTTCACAGTAACTGCAACCTAACAACTGTTTTGCCTGTGAGCTTGAAGAGAGCACAGTGAAGGGCAAAAGTGAACCCAAAGAAAGACACTGTGTAATGTCAAGGGTTTATTCACTCTTGTTGTTCTGTTTTTGAGAGATTTGATGAGAGAAAAGTTAAGCATCAGTTTTTGGTTTTTATTTCCTTTTTCTTTCTCTATTTTGGGTTTTTAAGGATAGTGTGTTCCTCATAAGGTAGGGATTTCTTCATAACTATGGATAGGTGCTTTCAAATACTACCACTTGATCCAACAGCAGAAACACTGCAGCAGTTTTCTATAAACAGAGATACCTGCCAGCAGAACATCACAATCTTGTTTCTCCTCCTCTACGTACTGGCCTATTATCAAATAAAATAACATGCCAAAGTGAGATTTTGTCCCGGGGAAATTTCAGAAGATGTTATTCTATGGCAGAAAGCATTCACGTAGAGACAACACTTGATAAAAGACAAAAAGAGGCAGTGATGGCAGGGGATATGCTCTTCAAACGGCCTGGGACATGCGTTGTCATTCCAAATTAGAAACCTGTTCACAAGAGCTGGCAGTAAGCGTGGTGTGATGATGAACTCTGGAAAATGCTGAGGCTGCAGGAAGGAAGAAAGATGACTGACAAAACAGGAACAACCTCGGGACATCCACAAAAACAATGGGAGGCACTGCCTTCTAGGAATACAAAATTACTGACTTCACATTATTCACCAGCTCTCAAATTAAGTAAACTAGGCATTTTTGTAAGTTAATTAAAGAGTAAAGAATAACATAGCTCAGCACTTTAAAAAAAAAAAATGGGTTTACCACATTTTCCTTTATATCTTTGTCAAATCCTTACCAATTGATTTCATATTCAGAAGTTGTTCTTGGGACCTTTTGATAAAACACTTTGTCTGAAGAGTTATGCTGGTGGTAAGCATTAATATAAACTCAGGTGTGAGCTACTCACTCTGCTTTTATTCAGCTCTCATCTCACACGGCTTGGATCACCCATGTATGTGACAGGAATCTGAAAGTATCTGCAGCAAAATAAGTGAATTTCAAGTACGCACCAAGGGAAGAAATGAAAGTAAAAGTGTTGGAGGGGCTGACTCGTTTTTCCAGTCAGCTGTGGCTGAGTTCACAACACACCAGTGCAGTTCTGGTGGCTGCAAAACACCATTTGGGAAGCAAAGCCCAGTCCTCTTCCCCTGAGCAGCATTTCACAGCACTGTGCTGAGCACACAGACATGGGTCTGGTGGTAGGAAAAACACACTCCAGTTCTGAACATTGAGCACAACCACAGGGCACAGCAAAATATGCTCCTCAACTAAGATTCTCCTTTCCTCTTTTTTTTTTCTTTTTGCCATTCAAATCCCAATGAGAGTTGATTTGCATGCACTGGCTCAAAAAAGGAGTCCACTCCCTTTCCTTCTTGCACCAACTACCAGCTATCATCGAGAAAGACATCCATATCTTACACAAAATGTGCCACTGCTTTTGCATTTCTGTAATCACACATAAACTCATATTCAGATGGAAATGCAATAGGATAAAAGGCTGCCTGATTTACTCTGAAATTTTAAGTCCTTTACCTGTAATTCCAGGATCTACTCAGTGTGTCAATTAAAGCCAAGCTGTTAGTCAGTCTTCAATAGCAATTTGTGCTTCTTCATTTGCAGTTCTCTTTACAGAAGGAGATGAGTTTACACTTCTGCACCATCAACTGATCTAAGCTTTTCTCTTGCGCTTTGTAGGCTGGTGCACAGAAAATCCTTCCGTACCCTCACCCAGCACATCAGGTTGACCAAGACACACTTCATAAATCCACTCAAAACAGTGAAACAGTGCACAGATCACCTTTGGTGATTCTGTAAAACATTTTGAAAATGATAGTAACTTCTGCTGGACTCTGAGGCCAGATATTTATGTTTGGGAAACACTCCAAGCTTAGTGCAAGATATGCACATCCTCTCTTCCATGAACAAAGGTGTGCAGTTGGATCTGAAAATTCACAAATCCCTACAGTGGCTTTTGAAGCACAAATATATTACTTGCAAATACACATGGGACTAAAGAGCGAATACGGCAAAACAGAGTCATTCCTCAAAGCAGGGACTGTCCATTTCCACTCTTCAAGGACACCAGGAAGACCTTAATATAGACAGCTCAAACATCAATGAAGCTTGCTATAACCTAAGCCTATTTCAGGCCTGTGCCATTGGAGGACAAGGCTACTGCGGCTGAGCAGAAAAGCTATTATTTCACTGGACTCACCACGCTGCCCATTTATAGGTGCCATTCCCACCAAAAGACAGCGTGGCCAAGTGGAGAAATCCCCAGGAAGATAAATTTGGGATTGCTCAGTATATCATCCATGGTTTGTCACTACTGTTGCTAACACAGGCTATCACCCATCAGGGTGATCTTCTATATAAACCTGCAGGAGTGATGACAACCTAATGGTGAACGTCACTGAGAAGCACTTCCATGGTGAAGAGAGCTGTGGTGAACCACCACAATCAGCTGACACTCTGCAATGGAAAGTTAGTGCCATCGGTCTATTTTAGTGAGATTAGTAACAAAACCATATGGATGCCTAGACAGGACCCCACAGCCTACCTGGGATCCTGTTGAGCGTCACCCAGAAGTGCTCATCGGGGCTGTAGGTGTCCTCAGACCACGCCAGCAAGTCGATGGCACGCGGGTCTTGCAGCACAAACTCTACAAAGGGCCGGGTGACCGCAATGTACGCAGAACCAAAGTAGAGGGTCAGGTTGTGTGGTGGAGGAGCCTTGTGCACCTGAGGGGTGACCAGCCCTGAGACGTTGCTCCCACCCCGTTCCAGGTGCATGAAGCGGGTGCGTGCAGTGACGTGTGCTGGTGGCAGCACTCCGGGAGTGATGTTCTTCCCCCTGTAGGCTTTCAGATGCTGGATGATCTCCCAGTTGGTCTTCAAGGGGAAGTCCTGCCCGCAGGCGTTGAGCAGGTAGCGCCAGGGCACGGCCGAGGCCAGCAGGTCCCTCATGCAGTGCAGGTCGGCCCGCAGGCGGGACACACCGCCGTAGACCACCCGCTCCGTGCGGGAGGCGAGGAAGGCGTTGGGGAAGCAGCCCACCAGGCGCCGCACCGCTTGCTGCAAAGCGGCTGGCGCCTTGCCATCCACATGGATGCAGTAGACGTTTTGGGGCATGTAGACTGCCCTGAAGAGCCGCTCGAAGGTCTCAAACTCCTTGTGCAGGGTGATGATGTAGGCCAGGGGGAAGGCCGCCTCCTCGGCTGACAGCACCCGGGTGATGTAGTGGCTGTGGGACACGTACTCGCTGCAGGAGGAGTCCCTGGCCGAAGGTCGCAGCCCCCCATCCTGCAGCGTGGGAGCCTGCCCGGCCAGCAGCGTGCCACACGCTCGCTCCAGCGCTGCGCCCTCAGCAGAGCTACCAGCGCCTGCCCCGCTCCTTCCACGGCGCCTCAGCAGCGCGGCGGCACCCAGCAGTACCACAGCCACCGTCAGACTCATCGCTAGCCGACGTCGCCGCATGGCCGCTCGGCACTGCACGGCCCTGACACGGGGAGCGCGGGGCCGGGGCCTGCGGGCTGAACTGCTGCCAAGCGGCAGGCACTGAGCCCGAGGGGCCGGGCCGGTAATGCCCGTTAACAGCTCATTGACCCTGGAGGGGGTCTGTCCTTGTAGTGCCATCTAGGCTCTAGAACAGTAAATTTGGTAGGCAAGGGTGGGATTTAAAATAAACTCAAGATTGGGAAGCTTTAAAGCAGACCTCACAACTCGTTGAGAAGGAAATTAAACCCCGGGGAACAGAAGCATGTTAAAAGCTGCTTCATTCAAGGCAGCGGTCTGAATTAAGGCACTGCTGTTCAGGACATGCTCTTTTTTCCAGCATCCGTGGCTCTGGTGTCTTCCGGTGCCGCTGCCCAGGCAGGCAGCTGGCTGCAGGGTTTGTCTCTCAACATGTGCAGCACAACTTTCATTGTGGTCAGATGAGTTTGCGTTTAGATGAAAACACTTCTTTAAAATGCTGTAATTCTGCTTCTGCCTTCCAAGAAGCAGCCTATTAAACCGTTACACCATTGTGTGATAGATACGAAGATACTGGGGAATCAGGCAAAGGAGTGAAAGTCCATTTATTAGCTGTGGCTTTTCAGAAAGCCTTGAGTCATGTCTTTCCTTACTCTGTCATCACTATGTAGTATTTTAGTGCAAAGCAAAAGATTGGTTGTAAAGCAGTTTGGCTTCAGTAGGAGAAAATCTGCACTAAAGCAACACTTAAATTAACAGCTAAAGACTGCATCTAGACTTAACCATATTTTAATCCTATATTCTGTGATAAACTGTAATGCCTGAATGGAGGATATAGGACAAGAATATTTTTTCTGGAAATTCTGCCATAAGGCAGGTGTACTTGCTGCATTGCAACATCTTCCTTAAGCAGATCTGGCAAGAGACAAAGGTTTTGATTATGGGATTGCAACAGCTTTGTGGGCATAAGACTCAATAGCAGTTACAGGAAAATCTCTTTTTTTAATACCTTATTTCTACAAGAAGTGTTTGCTCAAACAGGAAACCTCATTAAAGAATGGAAAATGCAAACAAAAGCACAAGTGTTAGTTATATGAGTAATGCTGCAGACATAGATACAAAATACTTCCTTCTAGAGAGCATCACTTATTCAACTAGCGTCACTGACTGGAATCATACAAAAAGCTTCTACCTTTCTGTCTACATCTGTCTTTTGAAGGGTGGGCATTAACGTAAAGAAAAGAATAGAAACAATTCTGGGAGGCAAAACTCAACCACAGTGGCACATTAGTATGATGCATGCACTGCTAAAAAGGTCATTGCAAGAGTCTCTCTAGAAACAGTGGAGGAATCGAGAGTTACCAAAGTAGTAATGAGTGATTAAGTTGCTGTAGTGAGAAGCTTGGTGTGGGATAAATTATATATAGAGATGGAAAAAACAACAAACAAACCACAACAACAAAGTAGGCCTATTTGTTGAAACTTCAGTTTATCTGCAGCAATAATTCCAGAGTCACATGAGAGCTGGTGGCTCTCAAGGAACATCTTGTTCACGTCCTTTGGTTGTGGGTATGAGACAAGAATAATACCATAAAATGCTGGGTAGCAATGCTAACACATTAATGAACCACATCAACCAGTTCTTTGTTTTTAAATTTTTATGTGACTTTGCTTGCACAAAGAGAACTCCCATCTGCCTTGGTTGTATCCTTAGCTTGACTCACAGCATTACCTGCCACATGTCTGCCATTACCTGAGGTATACTGTATGCCAACTGTCCTTATTTTTCTGTCTGCTATTCAGCTCCTAACTGAAATATTGCCATCAGGATGGTGCAGATGTACTTTTGAAATCTGAGAGTGATTTAAAACACTACTTGCTAATAAAAGTATCCATCCTTTTCATTACATCCCAATCATTGACATATGAGCAAAAATGACATAGGGAGCCTTTCTTTTTTTCTTTCCTCTCTCTGGGATGCATACTCACAGCTGTAAGCTTCTTGCACAAAAGAGGAATAAAAGCGATTCTGGCCTAGCATTTTCCCTGCAAACCCCCCAACTTCCCTTACTACAGGTGACCATTCACCAATTCTGTGGAGGGATGTACATGACCAAGGGATGTCCCAGCCTTGGGTATTCCAGGTCAGATGTTAGTCTGCCTCTTTCAGGCAAAGATCTAGAAGTAAAGGCTTTCATATCAGGCACTTCTATTTCAAAAGTGACAGATCTTTAAATTCATACATTTTGTGTATACGTTTTCTCATGTAAAGCTGAAGAGAAGTGAAAGAGCAGAGGAAATTTCCTCTTTTGGGGTCAGTGAACATTTAGATCTCACCCTTAGTAAAGAAACGGCACATTAAGATGCTATCATTAAGATATTTTAGGAATCTCTTGGACCTCTACATATTAGCAGTGTGGCATTCCCAATTGCACCTGGGAAGTTGAAGTCACCCATAAACTTAAGGGTGGTTGATCTAGAGCTATATCCTAGTTCCTTAATGAATAGTTCATCAGTGTCATCATCCTGGCTGGGTAGCCTATAGCAGGGGAAAAGCGATATCCACTTTATTTGCTCAGAGCTCCCAACCATGCAATTGTCAGCTACGAGCTCAGTAAAGCCCAGCCCCTTCTTCACAGTCATTCCCAGCATCACCTGCCCTGCCTGTCCCTACTGAAGGGCTCAGTGTTGTCCATCATGACATACCAGTTACAGGGCTCTGCCCGCCAGGTTTTGCTTATGCCGATGATATCATTGCTCGTGAACTGAAACAAGGCTTTGACTCCTCTTGTTTGTTCCTCATTGGTATAGAAACATCTCAAATTTTCTTCCTTGTACCCAGCACTTCAAGAGCAGACTGAAGGATCTCACTGGCATGCAGTCCCTCAAATTTTGAAATGCCATCCCATAGCTTATCACAGGCAAGTCTGATTTCATCCCTTTCCCCCTTCAAATCTAGTTCTGTCAATCTAGCTCTGTCAATTGGCCCAGTTAATTCTTGTGCAGAAATCCTATTCCCCCTCTAAGAAAGATGCATCCCATCAGCTGCCAGCAGCTATATTGTGTAGATCATCTCATGATAGAGAAACCCAAAATTGTGCCAATGATACCAGCCTCAGAGCCATGTGTGGATCAGCTGGCTCTGCCTGTTCCTCTCAGTACTGTTCCCGGCAACTGGAAGGATAATTCTATGATTCTATTCAGCGATGTATACTTAATTAAAGTCAGTCTGAAGTGCGTGTGTATGTTGTGTGTACACCCATTACTGTGGGCATGTATCCTCAGGAAACTAAACAGAAGGTGTGCTCACCTGGGATCCTGTTGAGCGTCACCCAGAAGTGCTCATCGGGGCTGTAGGTGTCCTCAGACCACGCCAGCAAGTCGATGGCACGCGGGTCCTGCAGCACAAACTCTACAAAGGGCCGGGTGACCGCAATGTACGCAGAACCAAAGTAGAGGGTCAGGTTGTGTGGTGGAGGAGCCTTGTGTACAAACGTCGGCAGCATGAAGGAAAAGAAAGAATATAATTGCTCCCGGTGCACATACTTGGTGCGTGCAGTGACATGTGCTGGTGGCAGCACTCCGGGAGTGATGTTCTTCCCCCTGTAGGCTTTCAGATGCTGGATGATCTCCCAGTTGGTCTTCAAGGGGAAGTCCTGCCCGCAGGCGTTGAGCAGGTAGCGCCAGGGTACGGCCGAGGCCAGCAGGTCCCTCATGCAGTGCAGGTCGGCCCGCAGGCGGGACACACCGCCGTAGACCACCCGCTCCGTGCGGGAGGCGAGGAAGGCGTTGGGGAAGCAGCCCACCAGGCGCCGCACCGCTTGCTGCAAGGCGGCCGGCGCCTTGCCATCCACGTGGATGCAGTAGACGTTTTGGGGCATGTAGACTGCCCTGAAGAGCCGCTCGAAGGTCTCAAACTCCTTGTGCAGGGTGATGATGTAGGCCAGGGGGAAGGCCGCCTCCTTGGCTGAAAGCACCCGGGTGATGTAGTGATTCTGTGTGATGTACTCGCTGCAATTGAATACTCCGAAGGATGTTTTTAAAGCATTTTCCTTCAGAAAGGACACCTTATCTTTAGTAAGTGCTTTACAGTCTTCTACTAAAGTTGAACTCACTGAGAACTTGAGCCTCCTGAGAGATTTTTGTGCATGTATAGTAATGGCATAGAAAACAAATGGAAGGGAAACACTGAGAATCAGGACGACAAAGAAGCAATATCTGAGTACACTCATTGCTGCTTGAAAAAGAAGTCACATGTGAAACCCTACAAGAAGGTCAGATCAGACACCCCAAAGAGTTAATTTCATTTTCTGTTCTTGGTTCCTGCTGGGGAATGCATCCATCAGGTCAATGCACAGTATCCAGCTGATGTCTTGATTTTAACGTAGATCTGTAGTCATCATTGATGTGGGAGCACCACGAGTAGAGAACGTGTTGTTGACAGAAGTTCCTCCACAGCACCCTAAAGATTAAACAGACATATCACATAATTACCGACTTAAATAATTACCATGTACTTTGTTACCTCTGAATACAATTTGTGGCTTTGCTCTTAATTGCTCCCTCTTTCCTCTCCTTTAAAGAATTAGCCAGCCATGAAACACCTATGTGTGCAATATAACAGAAAAAAAACTCTCAGATTTACCTTTTCTATCACTTATTTTTTCTTCGCTTATAGGAACTTTTTTCTGTCCTATCCAAGTTTCATCATTGCTGCTCAAGAATTATGAATGGTTTGTGCAGCACACCACGTAAGGCTATCAACACTCATTTGCATGAAGCCTAAGAATCTTTTTGCCTCTGTCTAGAATTACATCAGAACAATATTGAAGTAATATTTTTATTCATTTGTACATTTGAAACCTGCAAAAATTTTTCTGTTATGTATAAGTTGTGTTGAGCTCCTGGCTTACACACATTACAAGGAACCAGGCTTGGTTCCTACTATTGAAACTATTTAAGCTAACCTTTGTTTTCCTAACAAGACATTCTTGTTTCTGAGAGCCATGCATGCATCAGGTACATTGCCATACTCATGCAGTCAGAGATTGTGGCATGACTCTGCCTGAGGTGAAATGACTGGTAACACTCCCTTCCAACTGAGAGTCTGCTAATGTGGATCTCCTGACATAAAACAGCACTTCTTGGGGATTTAAGCTTTTTCCAACATCATGTTGTTTTGATCCAACATCAGATAACACTGCAACAATGTCAGATTATCTGAGATTGCACCAATAAATACTTTGATTAGGCAATCCAATGTGCTACAATGCAAAGGTGGAAATACCATCCAACTTGTGTAGACAGTCTATCTCAGGCACTGGCAGATTCTTCTTGGTGCCCTCTGGGGCTGTTTCTTCCCATCCTGATCCCAAACACTCAGTTCAAAGCTACTGAGGACTGCACTGGCTTCAGCCCCATCAGGTACAGTGATAAGCTGTAACAGAAGATACTTGTGCCCAGAATGTCCCTCAGAAGGTTCACCAATGCAGAACACTGGACAGAACTGGAAGTTAAGCTTGCTCATATATTGCAGTTTCTTCAAGAGCAACTTCTCTCTGGGGAGTCAAGAATGAGTAGGAGCAGTCATGGTCATGCTGAGCTTCTTCCAGTGTAGTCTTCTTCACCAACACTTGGCTCTGATGGAGACAAAGGTCTGGAATGGAGGTGTGCAAAAGTCCCAGGCAATAATGGAGAACTGCCAGACGCTGCCAAGAAGTCAACTGGAAAATGCCATCACAGCCCAACAGTACAGCTTGTTAAGGGAGGATTCAGAGAGGTGAATACTTAGCTGACATCATTGTCCAACTCTAGCAAAGAAATACACAGCAAATATCACCATGAAGGAGAATTCACACATGATTAGTGAATGCTGTCCCAAGGTGCACAGACCTGCCCAGACCTCAAAACACTGCTACCTCCTAATAATTTGTTATAGGAGTAAACACAGACAAACACCTCAGTAACACAAACGGGGAGAAGGTGTGTCAGTTGTTGTGCAGGAGTCAGGATTTCCTTGGGGATATCTCAGTTTACGGCAGAGAGCTCAGGCAACTTTTCCAAAGTATCAAAGGTTGAGACCCTCCAGAGTGTTTGGGTTTTGTTGAAACTCAGCCCAGGTGCTTCTAAAAGAGGAAGACTTGAGAACTATGTATATTTATGTATACATGTATATGCATGTATCTGAAAATCTGAAAACATATATGCAAATAATTACTGTGGAAATCCAAGCTATCAAAAGTATTTGTTTTGTCTTGTTTTTGCTTTGTTTGTTTCATTTTTGCTTCTAACTAGTTCTACCTTGTGATGATTCCTCTGAAATAATAGCCATACCTTGGGTTACAGGCAGAAATCACACACATGTTCATGCACACAGAGAGGAAGGAAACAAAGAAGTAGAGCACTCAAGCCACATGAGCAACTGCAATGGAAAAAACCATGATATCTATGTTTTCTCATGGCGTGGGTTGTATTTGACCTTGGCATATTTTGAATGCAAAAACAGTGTTACTGGGCAGAAGAGATCAACTGTACTATGCATTTCAAGAGGCTATGTAGGAGGAGTGCTGGTAGAACTAAATCTGCTGCTGAATTAGATCTGCAGCACAGCTTCTTTTTATTGTTCCCTGGACCTTCATTGTGGCAATTCTCATTGCAGCATTAAAGAAGATTTTAGTACAGTTCACACAGTGGAAACACACTCAGCAGTAAGATTAGCTATTGAAATGACTTCCCTGGGGATGAATGGGAACAGACCTTTCCAGTCACCAAGGGTTTTTATCCTAGGAATATAGTTAGCATTTAGTAAAATGCTTCTGGCTTAATCAATATAGGTAATTGGTTTCAGCTAATTTGCTAGCAAATTAAAAAGCAAGGTGCATGGGCTTTGCACATCATGGTTGCAAATTCCTATTTGGCCCTGGTTAGTAGTGACAAACATTACATATTCTACATCTGTTCGGGGTTATCTGGCATTTTCTCTTATGTTGTTAGGACAGAAATATCTGTATCACGACATTCATTTTCACATCCCTCATACACAAAGCTGGCAGACTGAAGCAGCACCAGTTAAAAATCTAGAGAGGCTACTGCAAGCAAGCAATTTCTCCTCACTGTTTTGGGGTTTTTTTTTCGGTTTTTTTTTTTTTGGTTCAGATCCTCTGAACCGGGTAACCACATCCTCTGCACATAAAGGCACTCCCCATCCTTTGCTCCTCGCATCAGAATGAAACTCCCTGTCTTGTGCTGCTCCTAAGTGCCATGCAATGTGCACAGTCTCCACAAAGCTCTTGAAACAGCTCTGCCTGGCAGTGTACTCCTCTAGTCTGTGCTTTATATGCCCTGCCTGAGCTAGAAGGTGTGTATCCACAGTGTAACACAGGAAAGGAGAAAGCAGAGTCAGGCAGAGGAACAGTTGGAGTTTCTTTCTATCTGCCCTCTCCTGCCCTCCCTTCTCTGCTGTTCAGAGCATTCCCACACCTGCCAGCCAGCAATAAAGTGGCTGTTCAAAAGGAAGAAAGCACAAACCTACCTGAAAAGGAGCTCCGAGGCAGGCACAGGGCTGACACCGGACAGTCACATCGCAGCAGTGCTTGCAGCGAGTGGGAGGAGAGACGAAGTGACACATCGAGGGAAATGCTAGCTCAGCTCACATGGTTCACTAAAACTATCAAGTAATCTAATCACATGCAGCACATGAGCACATCTGTCTGCACAAACACCAAAGGCCAGACAGCGCACGGTCACATCTGATATCATCTTGCTGTGCTCCCAGGCTTCAAACACAGAGCCTCTGACGTTGCGGGAACTTCATTTTTGGCCTGAATTTGCAGCAGGCTTTTCAATACAAAGAAAGCAGAAGCGTGTCAGGTTCTCTGGTCTCCAGCAGAGCACACAATTCTCAACTTAAACACATGACTGCTCCAATGCAGAGTGCTTTTCTGCTCCCTTTTCCAATTAATTTCCAGTGGGGACCTGTACTTACCTGTGTGAAAAACCACCCCTCACCAGCTGCTCAGGAGCAGCAGCGCTGCATCCTCCTCACTGTTCATCTATCCTCTTGTGCAGGAAAAGAGAGTTGTAATTAAATATGTTCCAATAGAGGACAGGCTAACTGTGATGGAGAAATTGGTGTTCTTTTGTTAAATACAACTGCATTTTATAGATTATACTGGTAGAGATAAGGCATGGAGATAAGGCTGTTTCGTAATGCAGGTTGATGTGCATAACAGCAGAGCACAAATGTACTCATGCTGCTATCATTTGCACTAGAGGAGTGCCCAAAGATGGCTCACAATGGATTTCGCAAACATTTGGGTGTTTACTAACTTCACGAATATGAACCCTTGGGAGCATCAAGTCTGGCCACTGGGGCTTCCAGATTTTGTCTTCTACTGAGCACTACCACTTACGGATGCGATCCAAAGCCAGTCACAGGCCTGGCTTGCTGGAGAAAAATTAATTCCAAGATGCATAGTGTTAAGCCTCAGCTGCCTGCACAAACTGGGAGTCTGTCCTCAGCTATAGGTGCCCCAGCAGTCACGGGAAGAACACAACTCCACCTGCAGGCTGTGAGCAAGCTGATCTGCAAAGCACAGCTGCCCACAGCCTGCTGCCTGCATTGCTCACAGTTCTGGCTCTGCGACTTGTTGCTGGGTGCAAAACAAGCAGAAAGCCCGTGAAGATCTGGAAAATATCTGCCAGGAATGACTGAAATAATATGTACTTATCTAGTGGGGAAAAAAAAAATCAGAAAAACCAGAAAGTCTTTGAACATTGTGTTTGTATATATATATATGATTTGTATATATATAAAAATTTGGAGCAAAGCCTGATGCAAATATGAAAGGGAGTAGCTGATTCTGACAGGCTGAGAGAGCTTGGGCTGTTCAGCCTGGAGAAGAGAAGGCTCCAGGGAGACCTGAGAGCAGTCTTTTAGTATCTAAAGTGGAGCTGTAAGGAAGAAGGGGACAGACTCTTCAGTAGATTCTGTTGTGATAGGACAAAGGGAAATGATTTCAAACTGAAAGAGAGGAGATTCAAGCTGGATATAAGGAAGAAGTATTTTACCATAAGGGTGGTGATGCACTGGCACAGGTTGTCCAGAGAGGCGGTGGATGCCCCGTCCCTGGAGACACTCAAGGTGAGGCTGGATGGAGCTCTGAGCAACCCGATCTAAGTGTCCCTGTTCATGGCAGGGGAGCTGAACTAGATGGCCTTTAAGGGTCCCTTCCAACTCAAGTGATTTTATGATTCTCCGCATTCTCTGTGGATAGAACTAATCAGCATAGATAGCATCAGTGGAGGTGAAGATCAGACATTAGAGAAGCTTTGTAGTGCTAAACAGGTGACTGTAGATTAGATGGTCTGAAGAGGCTGGAATTTTCTTTTGATGGTTTTGAGGAGCAGGTTGGGCACAGCTTTTTCAGCTGCTTTACAGGTCATACTGGTCCAGACCTGGTGATTTTCTAGCTCCTTTCCTTCTCTATTTCCTCTGATTGTTTCTATTACTGTATCACCTTGCTTGGCTTTAGCTGGCCTGGGGATCCTGTCACACCCAGGAATTGTAAGAAAACACTAACAAAAGACCTCTGTCATCATTTAGAAATAGGCTTGTCATCTCTTCTAGTTACCATTACACTGCAACTTTGGTAAGCTCAAAATAGTCCAGGAGCACTCAGGAAGGAAAAAGTGCTTGTGCAATAATTTTGTGATTGACCCTAAATAGGAAGGAAAAGCACTTAAATTATAAATCTGTGGCAGTTGGCTTTTTGGCATGTATTCCACCTCTCATATCTTTTCACACAAAACAGTTTGATGCCTGTTTCATCTTTTTACTCCTCCAGTGACAGTCAGAGGTTCCTGGTAGGCACCTGTTGCCCTTTGAGAGTCTTTCTTACCAGGTCAGACCCGTTATTAAGGCTTGAAAAAGAACTTTAAACTTGATGAAATTCCTGCACAAGCCATACTTACGAGTCTCTGTTTCAGAAGCTGCAAGTTTTCTGTAGCTAAATGATAAGCTTTGAGGGGCGGATTTTTGGGGAGTTTCTTGGGTTTCTCTGTAGTTCAGATATTTCCACTCCATTTCTGCACAGGAGACAGCCATGGCTGCTAGAGCCTGCCAGCTTCTTGGTGAGTCACGATGAGCCACCCGCAAATGGCAAACATTTCTGTGGCCAGTGACAAAGGCTGGCTGTCAAACTGTGGAGGAAATTGGCCTGTATGACACAGCTGCAGTTTTCTTCCCAGAGGTGAAAACAGCTCCTTTTGTTGCACCTAAGTATCACTTTCTTAAGGCTTGTCTTGGGTTTATAAGCTTCCCTTGCCTCATTTTCCCTTCAGAGGCTTTACTGTATGTCAAGGTCTCCTCTTTATATAACCAAGAGTCTGGGTTAAGCAAACTGTGCTGGTGGTCTGCTGGTAATCTCACACTGTAAGCCCCAAACTTGTGCTTCTGACCTGAAGACAGTCTCCTTTTTCCCCCACTGTCTTTGCCATCCACACCAACTAACCAGTATCACCCTCTTCAGGCTCTATATCACATCCATTCCTATGCCTTTTTCCCAATTCTCTGCTAGTTCTGCTGTCTTACACCCAAAACAGCACTGAGCTAAAGCCACCAGCTCCCAGATGCTTCTCATTCCCAAGCACCTTTCTGTTTGCCCTTGCTTTGGGTGGAGGCTAGTGCTCATTTTGTCTCTTGTTCTGCAGCTTACACAATCATTTTATGGCTCTCTTATGGGAAGGGCAGTGACCGCAATTGCCAGGCCCCATGAGGTCCAAAGCAGCCCCTGATGGTATTTCTGAAGCTGAGACAATCTGGTCTCCCTGTATTGGGTCACTAGAGGTTATCAGACAGTTAGAAGAGTACTGGAAACCTCTTTTGCACAACATCACATTCCTTAGCTTCTTAAAAATCCCTTCCAACCCAAACCATTCTATGATTTTATGATTCTCAGCTTCTGCAGCCAGACTCTTCTTGTCTGGTCCCTTCCAGCAAAACTGCCTTTCTCAGACCAGGATTTTCTTGTTGGGTTTGCCACTTACCACACACACCTGGCAGCTGGAACCCCAACATGGGTTTTCAAAGTCTTGTAATGAGTTAGTTAATGGCAATTTCTCGGATCTTTTTGCAGCTTGCCTGGATCCCATTTAACATGTAGCTCCACTTTGCTGTCTCACAACTCTCCTAGCATCTTTCTCCTGTTCTACTTTGGCACAAATTCTCTTACTTACAGCTTCCTGCCAGTTGCTCACATTCCTAATGCTCCTTGGCCTGAACCCTTAGCTTATGTTCAGGATAGTTTTTCCTATACTCCTTTTTATTTGCAAAGAATGTGTGGAAAAGCCTGTTTTCCCCAAGCCTACAGCAAGCAGCAGCAGCAGCAGAGCATACTCCTAACAGAATGAATGGTAGTGGCTTCAAGCTGTGCCAGGGGAAGTTGATACAGGCTGGTTTGTTTAGCAATAGGGATCAGTATATATTAGTTTAAAGACCAATATATTAATTTAGCAAGAAGAATCAAGTACTAATGATCAAGTACTACTGAGTACTAATTCTAAAACTTTCTGTTTCAATTTTGCTTGGTGTGCGAACAGCCTAATTCTGCTTCACAAGAAGCACTGGAATCATAATACACTACTTATCTCTGCATTTCACCAGGTACAAGGACATTTTCTTTGGATTTTCACATGTACTGTTTTGGAAGTTACTCATTATGGCCTAACAAGCAGTGGGAATTTGCCAAGCTGGGGAAAAACAGCTAAATGTCAGCCAAAAGCCTCAGTGGTGAAACTGATGGTGGACAAAAATGAGGATGAAGTAAGTGGGGGTACAGCCACCCTGGATGCTACCATGCAAGCCCAGAGGGACATTAGCATATACCAATAGAAAAGAATGAATATGAATGCCAATGTACTGCATATGTAGGTCTTAACTGTTTACATTTGAATGTAGAACCTGAACTCTGAGAGTGTGCTTGTTTATCAAGTCGCCCAGTAGGTATCATGAGGAATAAAGGATTCTTTCTGTCTAACACCACATTGGAGTTAGAGAATTTTCTTGCTGGATTTGGCATGACAAGATTCAGGTTGGATATTAGGGAAAATTTCTTCTTATGAAGAGTTGTGAGGCACTGGCACAGGCTGCCAAGGGAGGTGTTGGAGTCACCGTCCCTGGAGGTGTTTAAGGTAGATGTAGCACTGGGGGACATGGATAGAGGGCATGGCAGGGAAGGGTTGGTGGTTGGACTAGATGAGCTCAGTGATCTTTCCAACCTTAACGATTCTATAAATCTCAGCAAGCTCCCTCTACTCACAAGTGCACTGAAGAAGTAGCTGGGATATTGATAAGAGAGAGGACTGTTCCTGAATACACAGCAAGCACATCCATCACAGGAAGACGCTGGAGTGCGAGAGATTGGAGGTTGGAAGAGTGTGAGGAAATGTGCTGGGTTTGCTTGCCCTGCTTCCTTGCTTTTTCATAGCCCTCAGCTTCCAATATCTGCATGGGACACCTCTCAGCTGAATCCATGCACCTGCATTCAGACTGTCCCAGCCCAAGAATTTCATCCATTTCTTATAGTGGAAGAGAGACTTTTTCTC